AGCCTTGCCCCACCCTGCAATTAGGCTCAGAGCACTTGGTTTGGTTGGTTTTAGCCATCCAATCAGAGTGTTCTGACAGGTAAATGAAGGGACTGACAGGTAAGTCTCTACATTTACCTGTCACAGCACTCTGATTGGTTGGCTTGAAATCCACCCAATCAGAGTGCCTTGTGTCATTTTACACAGCGTGGGAAAGTTCTTTGGAATTTTCCCACGCTGTGTAATTTGACTCATAGCAACACTCTGATTGGTGGATTGAAAGTAATGAGTTATGAGTCAAATTACACAGCGTGGGAAAATTCCAAAGAACTGAAAAAATAAGATTTTAGAAGAAAATGGTAAGTTTTTTTGTTTTGTTTTTTTTTTACAGGTACTTAGTTAATGGTCCCCTCTCGTTATTTTTAGGTTGAGGGGGGTAGGTAGGAGTAAATTTTTGGGGGGACGGGGTGACTAGGGGTTTGGGGACCCCTAGTCACCTGGGGGGGTTAAAATATTATTTAGGGCCCCCATCCACCACTCAGGGGTGGGGGCCAGGGTGGAGGACATTAGGTGTCCCCCCCTATTGGTATTTAGGGCCCCCACCCACCACTCAGGGGTGGGGGCCAGGGGGGGAGGACATTAGGCCCCCCCTTTTTCGTATTTAGGGCCCCCCACCCACCACTCAGGGGTAGGGGCCAGGGGGGAGGACATTAGGTCCCCCCCTTATTCTAATTTAGGGCCCCCACCCGCCGTTGAGGGTTGGGGGCAGGGGAGAGGACAATAGGTCTCTCTCTTATTCTAATTTAGGGCCCCCACCCGTCGCTCAGGGTCCCCACCTCTTTTTTTACTTTAGGGCACCCACCCGCCGCTCAGGGGTGGGGGCCGGGGGGAGGACAATGGGTCCCCCCCAGTTTTTCTGATTTAGGGCCCCCACCTGCCGCTCAGGGGTGGGGGCCGGGAGGGGCAATAGGTCCCCCCCCCTTTAGTTTAAAAGCCCTACTCGCGCGGCTCGGGAGGGGGGACACTTTTCTTTTTTTTTTTTTTTTAAACAGTGAGCGACATTCAGTATAGCGAGTAGGGGCACAATTTACTAATACTAAGTAATATTTACTTAGTATTAGTAAATTTGGTTGAAAGACTAATTTAGGTCTTTCAGACCTTTGGTAGATAACTCCCTAATACCGTGTGAATTATGGGGTTATCTACTAAGCGGCTGCAAGAGAAGTCCCGAAGTCCCAAAATGCCGTAGTTCCGAAATTTCAAACCGAACCAAAATTTTTTCTCCATGCGCATGCCTAGTACCGGGTAGTGTAGACTACCATGGTAATATGTACTTCTTGCCTGAGGCGCTGGGCTTACTGAGGGAGCCTTTCAAGTCCACCACTACTCGGTGGAAACGTTCTTCAATTATAGGCAACGGGTGTAACTTGGCCTTGGGATGGTCACCCCTTTTCCCTATTTTTTTGGCAGACATTACAGGTCCTGCAGTAATTCTGCAGATTCTGTGTGATTCCTGGCCAAAAGAATGTCTGGGTTAACCGATCTTTTGTCTTCCAGATACCCATTTGTCCTGCTTGGGCAATGTTGTGGCTAAGCTTAAGCAGCTCCGCCCGGTATTTGCAGGGAACTATCAGCTGTCTTTTAGCTACTTGCACTGCTCCGCTCCCTGTTCCCAAAGTAACCCGGTAAAATAACCCCTTTTCCCATTGAAACCTTTCCTGCTCTATATCTCCTTGGGAGGACTCTGACTGTTTCCTATACCCCTCTAACATGGGGTCTGCCCTCTGTTCTCCTTCAAAACCTTGTGGGGTACCCCAGTACGGGGTGGGATTCTCTGCTAGGGTCATGACATAGGGTCCTACCTGAGGGTTCTCGAAGTGCATCGATTCTCCCCTGCTGGCTTGAAGTTCCTCAGGGCGTGGAGCGGTGAAATGCGAAGTCAGGAAGCCCAAGTCGTTCCCAAACAGTACTACGGCTGGGAGGTCTCGCACAATACCGACCTCCAGGTTTTTGGCCCTTGAAACCCAGTTGAGATGAACCAAGGCGGTTTGGAGTTTGTGGTTGATGCCTCCTGCCACCCTCACTGCTACCATTTGGCCGGTATGGGTTTGGGGTTGTGTGGTTGCACTAGTGTTAAGGTCGCTCGCTCCAGTGTCTTTAAGTCCCCTCTTGACCGTCTACTGTTACCCACTGCTGATGGTGTTCCCGGTTATCGTCTGCAGCTTGGATAGGATTCACTGTTCCTCTGGGCAACTTGGCATTGGACAAAAATCTTCCTGGTAACAGTGGGCTGTGGCCTGAAATGGCTGAGGTGGTGTGTGTTCCCAGCTGCCTCTACTACAGTTTGGGCAATTGTTCTTAAAATGCCTGGTTGGTTGCACCCATGGCACAAGGGCCCAGTCCGTCAGAAGGGTCCTGGTGTAAATGCAGGAGTGAAGAGAGCGGGTCTGGACGGTGGCAGGGTGCTTTGTGCCAGATAGGATGGCTTGGGTTGCTCTACTGGGTTCTACCTTCCTTTCATATTGGTACTTGTACTCTAACTTTGCTGCTTCCTCTATGGTTCCAGGCTTATGGCCCCTCACCCAGTCCTGGATCTCTGTTGGTGTATGATCAAAGAACCTTTCCAGCAGCAACATTTGTAGTGCGTCGTCCAAGGTGGTTGCCTGGAATCCCTGCATCCAGTTCTTGACTGCCCAGTGCATCCGGAAAAGCACACTCGGCAAAAGGGTCTCTATTATTTTTCCTTAACCCCCGAAATTCTCTCCTACATGCCTCAGGTGTCACAGTGTATCGAGTCAATAAGATGTCTTTTACCCGCTCATAGTGGTGTACTGAGTCGGGTACTGCCTGGTAAGCTTCAGCTGCTCTGCCGGACAATTTGCTGCTCAGGATGGCTGCCCACTTATCTCTATCTTCCACTGCACACTGTCTTTGAAAGTCCTGCAAAAAGGCATCTATACCCATCTCCCCATCTGCAAATTTTTTTAAATGCGGCATAGTTCACCTTTCTTCATTGCCCTCCATTACTGGTAGCGGTGCTGTATCTCCTTGCTACATGTCAGTTCTGGTCTGCCGTGCCATTTGTGCTACTGTGGCTTGCTTCATGATTTATACAATCAACCCAAGTGGGGGGTTGGGTCCCAGCATACAGAACTGCCATCTCACGTCCCTCTGGAACTCTGTGTCTTCGACGCTTACTGTTGCTGCATTACTGGCTTGGTTTGGCTATTTTTGCTGATTTCTTTTTATTACTTGCTGACCTACCCCATGCTTCCATTAGTTCTTTCAGCGTTGTTTGTTTGAGGCTTTCGTACTATTGGGCTATTCACTGCTGGTCCTTTTTGGGAAGCCCATTCGGTAGTCAGACCCTGCCACTAGTCACCAATTGTAACAAACCCCTTGTGTCACGCCAATGGTGCATAATTCATTGTTGCACAATAGAATATTGCCATTTAATGTAATTTGTGTAGTGCATATGAATTGGCCACTTGGTTGCAAGATCAGATGACAGAAGGGTTAATGTAAATGGTATGGGAATGTGAAAGGCATCAGAGGGTTTACCATATGGATTGATCCTTTGATTAATCAAAGGCGCTGCAAAGTGTGATAAGTCACACATAAGTGGCCTAGAAGTCTGTCTCTGATTTGCCATAGGTCTAGATTCCCTCTTAGATAAGGGGGTCCTTTGATATGTTAATGGCCATTAGCCTTGTGTTCCAGTATCATATCCAAAAGAAACATTAATATTTACCCACTGCTTAATAATTAAGCCTAATTTTTATTATATTTAGAACGGGACAAGCACAATCTTCTAATCAAGCCCAAACATGACTTGCCTAACAACCATAGGAGAAGGGATTGTGATGTCTGCTATATTGGGTCACAAGAGTGTAACATATTTATGGAATGGAAAAATGGTAAATTCATAGATGCAATTAATATTTCTGTGACAGATACATAAGAGGAGATAGAACCAAATGTTTCCATTTGGATTGATGTTGGTCTGGAACACAAGGGGGTGGTCACTTATACTAACTATAGATACGTCTTATCTCCACCTTTGGGCGAGGCTTAGAAATCCACAGGGTATTTTTCTAATGATACCTAAGTGTGTATTGAACTTGCTTGGGTGCCAGAATCTAATTCTAAGTAAGTCACTACCTTTCTTACCAGAGACCCCCATGGCAGAAGTTTTACTTTGAACACTTGAGTAAGTGATAAGGACTTCTGTTATTGCACCCCTTTTGTGTTTATCTGTTGTTGGTGTAACTAATTTGATTGTCATCTATATTTTTGTATGCACTTTGACTATTTGTTGCTGATAATAAATATTCCTTTATTAAGTTCTGCCTTTGTCTGGTAAAGAATCACATTAGCTGCAGAGACTAATTAGTGTTTTGCAATTGCTTAAATATTGTGCCAAGTTGTATTTGGTGGGTTTTTATTATTAAGTTACCTGAGGGACCAAGACACCCCATTAATAAATTGTCTTGGTGGTGGCAGTGTTAAAATAGTAATATCTGTGAGTAATAAGTGAGTGTAGTGTGAAGTGGGATTTTATCATTATTTCTGGTCTAGTGCAGACAAATAGTGAACTTTCACAGACAGAAAAGGTGTATAAATGGCGCTATAGATAAAACAATGTATATATCCCAGTGCGTCTCAAACCACACAAGTGTTATGTCACCTTAAACACTTACATAAAGGTTGGATACACAAGAGAGAATTTGGCGCACATGATGGATAACTGCAACAATCTGTAATGAATATAACAGAGCCTTCATAGGGCAACATATATAAGAAAATGGTCAAATATAAGTGTAACTGGAAACACTCACAATTTACATATAAGTCGGCTCTCTACTGTAGTAGCATGTAAGTAATTCCAATATGACAAATGGCCGCAATGATGGTGGTCCCCCAGGAAAAAGAAAGCTTCAACTTCACCTGGATAGAAGTTCAGGAACCAAGGATAGCTAAAATAGCTCTTTATTAAATGAAGGTAAACATATAAAAAACTAGCACAGCACATTTCGACCAACACACTGGTCTTCCCCAGGTGCAATAAAATCAAATGAAAATAACAGGTTTAAATACCTTGCAAACAGAGTGAAAATACAAAACACATGCAAATAATTACAGAAACCCCTCCCAACATGTACATTTATGGTATTTCCGTTTGTACCATTCCTCCTCCAGTATGGTGGCTATGTGATGTGTCCTCACTGATATCCATAGGGGACTGACCTCTTCATAATGGCCGCATGGACAGGACGCCGGTGGCAATCACGAGACTTCCGTCATTACAACGGAACGTCACTTCCGGTTTGCGTCATAACATCACTTCCGGTTAGTGTCCGTTCGGGAAAGGGGCGGTACACCCTTACCATAGTTAGTTTCAATAAGGAGAACGTAGTTAATATGTCCTAATTGGTCCGAAAAGCTCATAATCCGCCATATTTGTAATGGGAAAAGATAAGGCAAGAGAGGGCAAAGAGATAAATAGAATTAATGCGATGTTATAAAAGACAAAAACGGAGCAAATTGCAATCTAATCATGAAAAAAATAAAATACAGCATATATTAATACTAATATAAAAAAATCCAAAATAGGGAAGCACATATAAAACATAAAAATAATTAGAACATATTAAATATAATCAATATTAAAATATATATATATAAAAAATATATAATAAAAATATATAATAAACTACAAAGATACTATATTAAAAATATATTCTAAAATATTAAAAATATTTATAAAATGGGTCGAATATCAAAATCAATATTTAATCCTTTTGGAAATAACGTTTGTAAATCAAAAATCCAGGAACTCTCTTTTTTTTTTTTTTTACTAATGTTTAATGCCTTATTTCCACCCCTCCAATGGGTGGAAATTCTCTCTATTGCCATAAATTCTAAATCTTTAAGGTTAGAATGATGTTTTTCTAAAAAATTTTGTAGATACTATGGTTTTAAAAAAAACTTTTTTTATGTTCCTGATGTTCTCTCCAATACGGATTTTAAGGGGTCTGAAGGTTTTACCCACATATTGTAACCCACATTTAAAATTTAAGAGATAGACAACATTATTCGAATCACAAGAAATAAAACCGGGCACCGTAAAAGACTTATTTGTGGCTGCAGACATAAAATTGTCTTTTTTTCTCTTATTAATAGTAGTGTTTTTGCAAGCATTGCAATTCCCACAATGAAAAAAATCCTTTTTGTTTTTTAGACCAATCGTCTAAAAATGTCTGTTCCTTTTCACCATCTACAAAACTTGATGTTAAAATTTGTTTCAAGTTTCTAGCACCTCTAAAAATAAATTTAGGTTTCTGGCCTATAAAATCTTTAATATCGTGTTCTTGTTGAAGAATATGCCAGTTTTTATTTATAACTTTTTTCAAGGTGCCTAGATTAGTACAATAATTAAAAATAAAGGGAATTTGATTGGTTTTGTCTGTCTACTTTTTTACTTTATATCTAAGTAATTCTGATCTGATAATATGGTCAACGTTATTAATACTATCATTAAGCATTTCTTCTTTATAACCCTTTTGTATAAATTGTTTTTTCAGGAGGGACGATTGGTTATGGAAATCAATTTGTTCTGAGCAATTTCGTTTTAAATGTAAAAACTGTCCCTTAGGTATATTTCGTAACCACGGATCATAATGACAACTTTTCGTTTCCATAAAACTGTTATCTACTTTTTTTTTTAAAAGTCCTAGTTTTGATTCAATTGTCATAAGTAAAAATATTTAAATCTTAAAAAAAAAAAATCCTAATTTTCTTATATATGTTGCCCTATGAAGGCTCTGTTATATTCATTACAGATTGTTGCAAAGTTATCCATCGTGTGCGCCAACCTCTCTCTTTTGTATCCAAATAGTGAACTTTAACCCTTTCACCACCACCACAATGACATCATGCACACTCGAAGTAGGATGCATGCGTGATACCTTGTACTTAGTATAGTATGTTCATTCTCTTCTGAACTCCTAGAGGGTTATGTGATTATAGCCTGTTCACATAGTACGTTCCTACATACTTGCCTGAGCACCAAAAGTGTCCAAATAGCACTCAGATTCCACGTATATAGCTGAATCGTCACCGGTGTAAAGTTTTAACTGACTGCACATGGTGTCTGCCCAAAATAATTCCAGAAGAAACGTGGCAGCGGTCGGTCACTTTCAGGAGTCCCAAAACAAATAAAATACCGAATGGATCCCCTGGCTCATAGGTAGCGATTGTTCGTCTAGCTTGTGCGTACCTTTTGATCGAATAGCACTCTCCTGGCTTGTTGAGAATAGAAGCAAGCGGCGGTACAATGTTACCAGTGTTTGCAAGTTAGTGTCCAGCTTGGAGTTCCCGATACTCAACGACCAAGTACTGCTGCCTGCGTTAGGGAGACTAGATGAGCACTTAACTTTGTGGTTACTGAAGATAATGAGTCAGGGGCTGGTCTGCGTTCGGTAGACCCAACCACCGAATAAATATCAAATAACAGGGGAGAGGGGGAAATCACAGGGTTTTTCAGGGTAGTTTGTCACAGTTTTATAATGGCAGATGAGTCTGTAACGCCCATTTGGGATTAGGATGTACTCTAATTTTCCTATCCCTCCTCTAATTGTTGTTGATCTTGTGTACTTGCTTATTGCTTTATAAGATCAAATTTAAATACTAATCTGCAATTAATTCAAATACAAGTATCCCCACTGAAATATTTAAGGGATAACCAGTCATACCACAAACAAAACGTATTAGATTGAGCATAATATTCTATCTATACATTGTGGGAGCAGATGTGTAGATTGAGGGGGGGGGGGAGAAACTATTTAAAAATATATATATATTTTTTTCTCCCAGCTGTCATTCAGTGCCGTGGCACACCAAGACCTTGACTGACAAAAGAGAAAAAAAAAATCTCCCACAGGATATCCCTCGGCTCTCCACCAATAGCAATGCTATAATAACTCCTTAGCTTGTGCTTCTAGTGCTGGTTTGGATGTATAAGAAAAGTGAAGTCACTTCATTCTGACAGCAGCTACATAGCTAGTGTGCAGACATCGCTGACGAGATCTGCCCTGCTTGTGGATGCATCCCAAAAAGGTAAAACCAAATTAGAGTCCACGCAGTGCAGAAGACAGCCCGTAGATGGGTGTTACATGAAGAGTAACACCCACAAAGCGGTGTTGGAACAGAGGAAAAAAAGTGAGTAAGTATGTATATTTCTGCACTGAATACACCATGTATCTTTATGCTCTAGAGTACTCAGTGTATAGGATAGCAATTAAAAGTGAATATTTTCATATATTTCTCTTATATCTATATTTCCTCCTCCATTTGGAATAGACCACTCCAGACAGTTCAGACTCTCTCTTTAAACAGAGTTTCCTACCATCAAACTTTACCTTGCATGGCTCTACAGCACTCACATGTCCAACAAAAACTTATTCATAGAAAGATTTACAGAAAACGTGATGTTATCCGCTGCCAGTGAGGAGGCTCTGTTAAATGGTTTCTTAGCTCCATGGAGATAAAAACAATTTCCAAAAAGCTGTAACATGTTTGGCTAGAATGTTTTGAATTTACACCATAGCTGCAAATATTAGTGTACCTGGTTACTTTCTTAAAATAGGATAAGCAGATTAAAGAAAATCATTTTTTGCTGAGAAATCATTACAGTATCAATGTATGCAGTATTATATGACGGGACAATGACGTTCGCACTGCTGTACACTTTATTCTAGAATATTTCATGTATTCAGACAATATTGTAATATGTATGCAATATGTTTGCTGTAACACATGCTTTGTATGAAAAATCTTTTACAGTTTATGGATGACAGTTTTATTCTGCCAGAGGTGTGTGGCAGAAGAGAAAAAAAAATAAAAAAAATATATATATTCATAGTTGTCCAGGAAGGCCATAATATCTATAGCGCTTGTAAGAAATTATAAAGGCTCTTGTCATAATGTAGGTTCATATCAGCATCCATGTGAGGTGTAAAGAAACCAGTGTGTAAGAGGAGTGCTGTAATTTGCAATGAAGACTGAGACTGTAGCTGTTCAAACGCACATGTGCAACAAGCCTTCAAATCTATTTCACAAAACACAACCACAAATTGAAACAAAGCACGGCACAGATTTCCACAATTTGGCTTTACTTTGCAGTACAGAAATCATGTTAAACCCTATTAAGCAACACTTTAGAGGGTAGGGCTCTGTCAAATCAATACTGCACTTCCTGTTTGGTCCTTTTAAGTTGTGAGGGGATTACATAAACATATACAATTCTTGCCTGCTTAATACTTGCGTTTGTGAATTTGATTAAAACAAACAAAAAACATTTTTTATCGAGCCCAACCATTAGCAGCTGGTATTAATATTTTAAAATGTTAGAATCTCACACTTTGAGTTCTATGTTGGGGGGGATGAGGGGGTTTTTGGACACAAACTACACAGAAAGGAGAAAGTTCATGAAGAGATGCTGCCCAAAATATAGTGCCTTGTGAAATATGATTGCCTAGTAAATAGATTTCTTGCAATTTGTCACGAAAACAATCCTTCATTATACAGCATATTCAAGTGACTGCCAAAAGGAGAAAAAAAAAAAAATATATATATATTTTTTAAATTATTTATTTCACTCGATAGTAAACATTTTGGGTAAATCTGAACTATTTCTATGCTATATGAAATCTAAATGTAGCCAGGAACGTAAAACTTGATTTCTGGACAGCAGCCTCTCAAAAAAAAAAAAAAAAAAAAAAAGGCAGGGCAAAAAAGGGAGAATTTACCAGTGCAATGCTCATGAATTTCAAAAGGTTTTTACAAAAAGCAGGTGTTACATTATTCAGTTTCATACAGTGTTCCTAAATTCTTGAAATACATGTTTATAGCCAATTCAGAATTTTTCCTAGTTAAGTTAATCTTCACTGGTCTTCCCCAAAGATGTCACTTTTCTTGCGTTTCATCTCATCAAAGTCAAATTCTGACCCAGTCATTCTCTTGTAGATATCCTTTATGTCGTTACAGGTAGTTTCAAAATGGGTTGTAGGATCATATGTGCGTGAAATAAAGATCTATGGTACAGAGAAAATGTAAAGCATGCCATTACTAAATGATGTCACAGCATAAATTACTAAAACTATGCATGGACTTCGTTTAGCATTGTCTTCATGTATCTAAAGTTAAGTGTAGAATACAAATCACTTTATTCTCTAGTGATACAGCTTTCTTGCTTTGCAGAGCTCACAGGAATATTTACAACTGTAGACCAAACAAATATTCTTTACTAGAGAGACATTCTAATCAACACATGCAAACCATCTTATTGCAGTAATTCCGGTGTAAAGAAGCAGTGTTTGAAATTCCTCAAATTTTGTCAAACCATTTTCCACCAATTTCACCAGTCACCACACCCCCAAAAAAATAAAAAAATAAAAAAAATTGGGGGAGGGAGGAGCTGAGGCAGAGCAGAGTCAGAAATAAGGATCAGAAGGGGGGGATGAAGGTGTGCACTATAAAATAGCTATAGTGCCAGGAGGGAGGTAGTGCGTGCCTGCTACTTCTGTTAGCTCAGGGGAAGGGGAAACGGACACAGGAAGGAATGGTCCCTGTCTGTGTAATTGACTCGTAGAAATCAGCACTTTTTTAAGCTGGGGTTAAACTGATACTCCACACAGATTTCATAATCAAATCTCAATTCCTCATTATGTGGCAATTTGGTTGCATTAAAAAGGCCAGCATATTTTCAGTTCACACTTACAAGTACTCTTTAGGATAATGAGTAAGTGAAATTAATCATTATGTTACATGGTAAGGTGGAGGTCTTTTGTTTTTGAGCATTCTTGGGGGCTTTCTGGCAGAAAATAAAAATACAAACAAAAGCAATTGTGCATCACTAAAGAATTTCAGAATGTAATGGTTTCCTTTTAACCATTCTCTTATACTATGAAATGAAAACAAAGATAGCAGTTTGATACGGACCTGGCTTTCAGTTCCCAAATCAGTAGGTCCATATATGTCACTAATGCTAACAAACCTAGAAAGAAAAGATATAATTGATCAGAATTACAGTTTTACCAACAAATTTTTTCTGAAATAAAAAAAAAAAAGAAAAGAAAAGAAAAGAAAATGCTTTTTTATGGACACAAACTACAGCTAATACTTTGAGTCACAAAGAAGCCAAACATAAAATAGTCAAAGGCAGTTACTTCTGGAATTAATGCAATTCAACCAAAACAGTGAAAATCTAATTTACAGAACACAAGATAAAAATATTAGTAATATAGGTCATTTTATTAATTTAAAGCAGAAGATTGTAATTTATAATTTAACAGCAGTGGCATAGATATCGAACAATGACACTCCCATTCCAAAGAAAGAAAATACTTACTTCTGTTCAATGGGTTCAAGCAGTTCCAGAGCAGGCCTGATTTCTTTCTCAGGATCATTCGTTTCAACAGTAGTGCTTACTATAGCAATGTATTTTCCTTGTGCAGCTACATTATGTGCATATGAGATCATGCACACATAGATATCTTAAATAAAAAGAGAAAGGAAAATAAACAAAACTATACTATCAATGTAAGCAAAAAATAAAGAGACTGCAAAACAGTAAGAAAGCCACCTGTGTCAATTTAAAATAATTAAGTTGGCCTTAAATATGCAGTAAAACATTTGCTATAACGTTCTCTTTCTTTCAAATAAAACTTATTCCAGTGGAGAAAACCTAGCACAATTTTTTCATCCAAAACCAAAAATGAAGGCAGTAGGGAATTTGATAGTCAAACTAAATAACAGACAAATGGCACCGTGCAATGGGTGGACTAACAGACACGTATTTATAACCAGACAAGTTAGACACAGGAACAGAGGGATTGAGGGCCCTGCTCAATGAACTTACATGCTAGAGGGAGTGAGACAAAAAGGTAAGAGTAGGGTAGAAAAGCAAGTTTCTGCACAATTTTTTAATTTTGTATTTTTGCAGTGCAGAAGGTTACACGCAGGCTTGAGGTGCCCTAACGGCAATTCCACAAGCTAATCAACAGAAACAGTGGGACACCTTAGATAACATGCACAATTTTGTAATTAATAGCACATACAAGAATGATTAATTCACATAGGAGTAGCATGAAATGTCATAGAAGAACATTGCTCGTTTTAGTATGATGAAACACAAGATGAGACGTGCCAGAGACTGAGTGAATGCACAAAACTACACAGTCTGTACATACTGGCATTGAGAGTAATTAGTAAGACCACTGGGTTGAGAGATAAAACAAAGGAGAGGTAACACAAGGCAAATAAAAGAAAAAAATAACACAGAAGGCAAACAAGTGCGACCCCGCTTTTAGCATTAGAAACAGGAGCTAGTCACGTTGCAGTAGATCACCCTATGTCACAGATAGTCCAGGGTTGCTAGTACTGGTCCTCTTCAGGACTGTCCTGCCTTCCCTCCGTCCAAGTGCTGTGCAGATTTTGCAAGTTGACACTCTAGAGATAGCGAAGTAGGCCATCCAGCTGTTGTCTCCCATACCTGCAACTCCGGGTCTGAAGGGAGACTAGTGCCCTGTGTCCATAGATCCACTAAATCTGGTGCCCGCAGGGTTCCTTAGGCTTGGTTTCCCCCTAGGGTGTATGAACGGCAGCCTGGTTGACTTTCTAGGCGAGCCCCCGGCCCAGGAGAAACGGGAAGCTGGTGTAGTTGTGTTGGTCAGTGGAGTAACTGGATGGGTGAGTATCCACAGAGCCTTTGGCTCGGTGGGAGGGCAAGGAGTCACTTCAGTGACTTGGTGCAGTGATTCTGCCAGTGCTGCAGAGATTGGGGGCAGGGGGATGCTGTGGAAGCAGCTTAAAACTGCTGAACAGAGCGCTTCAGATTTGGCCTCAAACAACTCTCTCCACTCTTTCCTGCTAGACCCTGTTGGAACATGCGGGTGCCAGATGCGCAGTGGCCATCTTCGCTCCACCATGCGGTCGTCAACTCCACAGTGTTGCACTCAAGGTCAGTGGGGACGGGATAACCGGCGCTGGTCCAAAGAGGGGAGGGGGTAATGAGGCTACCACAAGCTGAGATGTGGTGCAGTCCCTGGGCCAGATCATCGGCCACTTCTCCTGGTTTTCAGGATTGTCACTTCAGCAGGCCGCAGGGCGGGGCTTGTTACAGACACAACACAGGCACGATCTGGGCAACCTTAGTGAATGTGTCGATCTTCTGCCAGTTCCTGGCTCCTTTGAGCAGGATTGAGGGCTCGAAAGGCAGGATTGTGTGTTTCAAAAGCAAGGTTTTAGATCAAATCAGCAGGAGCTAGTGTGAGATATGTCCAGGTATCTTGGCTGTCAGGCCCCGCCCCACACTGCTGCACAATTTAACTAACCTTTATTTATAAAAAAATAAAATTTGAGTCGCAAGCCGGGATGATTACTTGTTAAAAATAAAAAAGGTAAATTTACAAGCTTGCGGTGTGACTGGAACACCCATTGATTTATCTGAGTCAGAATGGAGGCCACATTTTACAGTCAAAATGTTATATTGGGATCAGGATACATCTAAAGGCTACATACTCCCATATAAAGCAAAGTGCAGTTTAAAACAGAAAAAAAAATCCCTGCCGACTGACAGACATGTTAGAACTGATGTAATAAATATCGCCAAATGGCAGTAAATGGCAAAGCCAATTTGCAATGGGAAAAAACAAAAACATTATGTAATGTAAAAAGCAGAATCGACATTTCAATAATGGAGCTAAAGCAAATGAAATACACAATAGTATTTCAGCAAAGGAGAACCATTTGAGTACATTTTTTTTCTTAATAGGTTGTGCGAAATCATGGCATGCACAACCTATGTTAGAATAGCAGTTCTGCTGGTTTCTTTTGTCAATCTTTTTTTAGTTGACAAAATGAAGGTTAACATCACACATACAGAAGTTATAACAAGCATCACATGTGTATAGAGCTTAGCACGGAGATGAACAGAGGTACTACAAGGTTAATAAGCGCAAGGGAATAAACTCCTAGGCAAGTACCTCATTTATAAATTACAAAGAAAAAACAGGCTAGTTACACATGGCTATGCAGTACAAGATTAGTAGAAAACTAAAAGCATGGTATTGGTTTATTGGACAGAAGAAAAAAAATAAAAACAAAAACAGAACGAAACGAAGACCATTGTGTAATATGCTATATTGGGCAACAGGCTGAAAATTACCACTGGAACTGAGCACTATATCAAAGTGCTCAAAGCAATGTGAGACGGAATAAACATAACAAAAGAAAGGTAAAAGACTACAGGCGAAAAGCAAATAAAAATGTAAGAACAAAAGATGGCGTCCACAAAGAGCATGATAACTCCTAAACAGTAGGTCTTTATATAGCAAGGATTTCCCAATCATTAGATTATGGAAATCATGGAGCATCTGGAATATGCAATAGGGTGACAGATGGCAGCTGCATAACAGGATAGAGATAGGGCATAGCTGCCGCCCAAGATGAAGTATAAGCCAGCATCTCTGGGCCATAAACTTGGGGGGCTCTCAGAGTCCCTCTGGTGCAGGGGAGAGAAGGAGGTTCCGATGTTGGTCGCTTTTGGCTGACTGTCCCCCGCTGGGGTGGATGATGCTTTGGGGAAATACCCCCAGTGACCTTAAGCCAAGGTGGGCGAAGAATTAAAAATGAAAGGCGCTGACCCCAGTGCAGTACCCAGAGGGGGCCCCCCCCTCGCTTCAGGTGCTCGCTCCAATGATCACCCTACAGAGGCAAGCGTGGTGCTGCAGCTGCATGCACCACCAAGGCGGCCCAGAAACTTAAAAAAATAAATAAAAATAATTGCTTTCAAAAATCCCTCAATTGAGCCAGGTTGAGTTGCCTGAAGCAGTGTCATGCCTTCCCTGGTCAAAGAAGAGAGGGCATCTTTGTGAGTGCGCCTGTTGGCAGGAGCCAGTAGGAGCTGGTGTCGGAGGTAGGAAAATTTAGGCAGAACAGTCTAGTGGGGACTAGGATTACCCCCACATTTTACCAGGCCCCATAGTTTCTCCAAATAAATCTACCGACTGGCACTGTGTGGTACCGATCCAGAGCACCAGTCAGGTACAGGTGACAGGTAGGGTGGTTTTAGTGACAGATGAGAGTACTGGTAGTTTGAAAAATTGCAGATTGAGTCATCAAGATCAGGCGCTCTAATAAAATGCGTCTGGCAATTATGAATACAATATTATGAATTCTAATACATTGCAAAATGCCTTACAAGCGAAGCAATCCAGCAACACACTTGGACAGGCTATGTGATTGATGTGAAATTTTTTTTAACCCCTTATGACTGGAGGGCGTACTATTACGCCCTATTCTAAGCGGCTCTAAACGCCGCCGGGCGTAATAGTACGCCCTCTGGTCTTTTCTTACTTACCCGGTCGCTGGCGATCCCACTCGGCACGTCCGACCCCCTGGAAGCCCCCCCAGCCATGTGAGACTGAGGTCCTTGCGAGGAACTCACAATCACATGGCCGGGACAGCTGTCTGCAGCATTGCCAGAGGGGGGGCAAAATTATATACTTAGATCACACACACATATACATGTAATATTTTTACATAATTAGGTATCTTAATTACAATTAGCGGGACCTGCCTGATAACCCATGCCGAAAGTAAAGGGAATTTAATTTGCTAGCACTATATTTAACCCTATAACTTTCCAAGACACCATAAAACCTCTACATGGGGGGTACTGTTCTACTCGGGAGACTTCGCTGAACACAAATATTCGTGTTTCAAAACAGTAAAATGTGTTACAATGATGATATCGCCAGTAGAAGTGACTTTTTTGCATTTTTCACGCACACACAGCACTTACAGATGATATTATTGCTGCGATACTTTACTGTTTTGAAACACAAATATTTGTGTTCAGCGAAGTCTCCCGAGTACAACAGTACCCCTCATGTACAGGTTTTATGGGGTTTTCAGAAGTTACAGCGTCAAATATAAGGCTTGCGTTTCATTTTTTTCCACATTAAAATTAGCCAGATTGGTTACGTTGCCTTTGAGACCCTATGGTAGCCCAAGAATGAAAATTACCTCTATGATGGCATACCATTTGCAATAGTAGACAACCCAAGGTATTGCAAACTGGGTATGTCCAGTCTTTTTTAGTAGCCACTTAGTCACAAACACTGGCCAAAATTGGCGTTTTTTGCATTTTTCACACACATACAAATACCAACGCTAACTTTGGCCAGTGTTTGTGACCAAATGGCTACTAGAAAAGACTGGACATACCCCATTTGCAATACCTTGGGTTGTCTACTATTGCAAATGGTATGCCATTATGGGTGTAAATTTCATTCCTGGGCTACTATACAGTCTCAAAGGCAACATAACCTATCTGGCGAATTTCAATTTTAAATTTAACGTGCTATATTTGACCCTGTAACTTCCCAAAACGCCATAAAACCTGTACATAGGGGGTACTGTCTTACACGTGAGACTTTGCTGAATACATATGTGTATTTTATTGCAGTAAAAGCAAACAGTTATGACATTGACAGTTAAAATGTCATTTAGAACTAAAAATTTTTAGAAAAATCTTATTTTCTCCAATTTTTTCATATTAAATTATGTTTCATAGCTAAATATTTGATATTAATGAAAGCCCTGTTTCCCCTGAATATATAATATGGGTGGGTGCATTTACTATGAAAGAGGTGAATTACGGTTGGACAGACATGTAGCGCAAATGCCAGGTTTTGTTTACATTTTGTTTTGTTCACAACATGTACATTTGGCTCCGTCCTTAAGGGGTTAATAAATAAATAAATAAATAAATAAAAACAACCACCACCACACAACAAACACACTTCATATCTTGGCAGAGAGCAAGAACACATGATCAACGCGCATTTGGCTTTTAAAAGAACCTTTTGTTCTGGCTCAGGTTTAAGAAAGCAATCATTATAGTAAGGTTAGTATTAGGAACATAGCAGTAAGATAATTCTCGACAGCTCAGAGCCTACATCTATACCATGATCAACTAGCAGTGTAAGGAATAGTGTATATAACATGTTATGTCACCTCAATGACTGTTTGAATATCACTAAGGAGTTGTAGTGGAATTAACAGGCACGTCTATCACATACTTTGTTAGTATTATGTTTTCTTCGGTTGTTTTCAAAGTATAGCTCCCTATAAGGCTGGTTTACTACAATCACAGTTTTCACACTTTGTTTTAAGAGATCCTCACATAAGTGAAGTTACATTTGTCTTTATTTTATAAACTGTGTGCAAAATAGAATATGAAACCAATAAATAAAAAAAATTGAGAAACTCACCAGATTTCCGGTTGACCTGATTTTGAGGGATGATGATCTGGCAGGAGTTAGCATCATTTGTGTTCTTTATTGGGTGACTCAAAATGCAGATTACGCGTACAACTTGACCCACTTTAGTGACAAGGTTTGGAACATAACTAGGGTCACATATAAGTTGTTTGCAACGAGCAACCTATATATGAAAAAAAATAAAGGAAAATATTATGAAAGGTTTCTTAATTACAATTGTTTATGGTTCATGTAAAATTTAACATGCATTTCATTGTACATAGATGCATGTATTTTCTTAATACGTGTATCTATAGTGGTTTACTAGTGGCAATAGTGATTTAAATAATAAAGTTACTGTATCACTCAGCAATTTGAATAATTGTCAAAATAAAACCCCCACACATTTTACAGTGTCTCCCCAAAGAAAAACTTTATTTGCTTACCACATGTGGTATTATAAATAGATGAGGCCTTAACAGAAAATAAAGTGTTTTGGACTGAAACTGCATCACAAACTTATTTGTATAAAGTAAACAAAATCAAATATAGAAAAAACATTTTGACTCTGTCCGTTCTGGCAATTTCCGAAAGATATATTTTTTTAAAGAAGTATTCATAATTGCACAGGACTGCATTTGGATTCAATTAAATTCCAAATTAAAAATATATATGAGACAATTCTGTCTTGTGATAAATTGCAAGGCTGACCCCCCCCCCAAAAAAAGCAGAGCTATCTTAGTCACCTTTTGTCAATGCCACCAGCTATGACAGCTGTGGGAAAGTCACAATCTCATGCATTGCACAAGTTATAGGAAGGATCCCCCCAATGAATAGACAAAGATTACAAGTTAGTTACTTTAAGAAGTTATATGTATATCTAACTCTATAAAATATATAAAATAACAGCTTGCTAGAGCAGTGGTAACTTCACTGCATTTGAACTGGAACAGATTCGTCTCACTTCCAACGCTCTCCTTGACCCTCTTCAATCTGGCTTCCGCCCCCTCCACTCTACGGAGACTGCTTTTATCAAAGTTACCAACAACCTAATCGCAGCTAAATCCAAAGGCCAGTACTCCATATTCTTCTTGACCCCTCTGCTGCCTTTGACACCGTTGACAATGCTCTTCTTAAAACTCTTCAAATTACTGTCTCTGTGACGCTGTCCTCTCATGGTTTTCCTCCTATCTCACCCAACACTCATCCAGTGTCTCCTTTCCTAATGATACCTCCTCCCCTCGTCCTGTTTCGGTTGAAGTCCCCCAAGGCTCTGTACTTGGTCCCCTTCTATTTTCTCTTTATACTGTGTCTCTTAGCAAACTTATTACCTTATTTGGATTCCACTACCACCTGTACGCTGATGAGACCCAGAGATATTATATATATATATATATATATATATATCCTTCCTGAACCTCTCCCCTGCTGTCCTGCAACGTGTCACTGCTTGCCTTTCTTCCATCTCGGACTGGATGTCCTCCCGCTTTCTGAAACTCAATCTCTCTAAAACTGAGCTCCTTGTCTTTCCTCCTCTTTCACTCTCCCTTTAAGTTAGTAGTATCCACATAAGTCCATCCTTGCAAGCGTGCTGTCTTGGTGTTCTCGATTCTGGCCTCAACTTTGAGCCTCACATACAGCATGTTGTCAAGTCCTGTAGATTCCATCTTAAAAACATAGCCTGCATCCGCCCCTTTCTTACACAAGATGCCACTAAGGACCTTGTCCATGCTCTAGTAATTTCCTGCATGGATTATTGTAACCCTCTCCTAATTGGTCTTCCCAAAAACCGTATTGCCCCGCTCCAGTCTCTAATGAATGCTGCCGCCAGACTGATTTTCCTCTCACACCTCACCCCTCTGTCAGTTCTTACATTGTCTTCTTGTATCCTATAGGAGTCAATTCAAAGTGCTAACCCATACCTATAAAGCATTGACCAATTCCCTTTCTATAATTGTAAAGATTTGCGGAATAGGCTTGCACTATATAAATGCGAATATAACATTTCCGTAAAGTTATGCAATGCATTTAAGTTTTTAGAAGAAATGACATAAGACCATGTCCGTTTCCTTTTTATTAATCAGGGTGCATATAACTAGGAATTTCTCGAGGCCACTATAAAAGTGCATAGGATAGGTGTACAGGTGCTGACCGTTCTAAAAAGGAAGTTCTAAAGCTTCTACGAGATGCTTACCTCTCCTTCTGATTTCACACCAACAATTTTGCAATTTTCCATCACCAATTCCTCTATTGGTTTGTTTAACATATAGGTACCACCATAAATAGCACTCAGTCTGTAAAACAAATAATGTCTCGAATGATATAATATTAAAAAAAAAAATCTTTCAAAGAGGTAAAATTATATATGTTACATATCGATTATTTAATCCTTCTATGGTAGTAATAGTTTCTTTACACTGCACCCGATAAAGCTGGTTAATAGCTCAGTGGAAACTAATCTGAGAAGAACTAAATCAGATTCTATAAATTACATCTTTAATTTAGAGTTTACACAGTTCTTTGACTTGTAACAGAACTGTTGGATCAGACTGCTTTCTTAGGCATGTTATAAAACACACACAGAATTGTGACAATTACTATAACCATGTCATGTAAACACCAGGTATTGGTGTAGGTCTGTTTTAGAGATTACAGCCTCTTTGATAATACAGACTGATTATACACAGTGATACATCTTTATCATTTCAAGTAGCTACAAAAACAAGACTAATTTTCCCGCTACTAATACAGACATACCAGGAAGGAAATTTGAAATTGTATCACACAAAAATGGATTTAAATCAACTACTGCACTTTAAAAATGTAGAATCAAGCACATTTAGTTTTTACACGTATAGCTTTAATTCATCTGTGAAATGCTGCTCTTTCTAGAACTCCACCAGTTCACTGAATTAACCACCCAGAGGGGACACGCATTAATAGGACACTGTAGGAACCATAGCGGCTTCATCTCATTTAAGTGATTATGGTTTCTAATTTCCACCAATGTTGCACTTCATTTCAGCATTAAACAGTTTTTAATGTTTTAATACTAGTAAAGCAGTCTATTCCCTTTGTGCTTCTTGTTCTAATGAGGAAAGCATTAGCCTGGGCAATAATGCGCAGCTGTGATAGGCTGAGGGTGTCAGCTGACCATCCTATCACAGTGCCACTGCAGGTGTGAAGCAGTAGGACTATAATAAAATGTGTGCGCTTTGCCTTAGCCATACCTCCAGTGGGGCTGGGTTAGGGGTGGCCAGGTTAGGGGTGGCCAGCAACCGTCAGTCAGTTTTAAGTTGCTCAAAAATAGTATAATAATGAATGGAGCCACAGTGCCAGAGGACTCCAGGCACCATAAATTAATTAGATGAAATGGTTATAGTGCTCACATGATCCCTCTAATGCATTCCCAAGACTGGATTCAGCATCCGTCACATGAAGACTATATACAGGACAGGGTGCCGCTTTACAGGATTGAGATAAACCAGGCACTACAAGGCAGTTTTTGCAGAAGCTATGTAACCGTGCAAGTCTATGGACTAACCAAGACTAGTTTAGTTCACTAAAGCGGTTTTCCCGTTCATCCTTTTAATGTAACCAATTCCCTAGTCAAATACATCAGACAAGCATATACTTGCTGATACTTACCTTGCAAATCCCTGTGGCAGCTCTCCAAGGCCATAGAGTGGATACAGGTAAGGGCTTTTGCCATATCGAGCAAGAGATTCACTGTAAAGCTTTATCCGGTTTATAGTCTCAAGACAGGGCTGATCCAAATAGCTAGAAAGAAAAATTGAGAGAAAAGTATTACATCACAATGGGTTCTCATGAGAAAAATAGCTCAACTATTCACTTTTGAGGCAGTTTCATATTTGAAAGTGGAAACATACTCACTATGACATGAAAAAGTGTGCCACCTCAATTTAGAAAGTTGTTTTAATATGAACATATGATGTTTATCCTATTTTGAACATGTTTTTTTTTTAGACCACCTACTAGGACTTCCCCTGCAGTAGGTATCATGTTACACAAAAACGACTTTGTGAGGATGGTTTAAAGGGATACTTAGCAACAAAACAACTATTTTAAATGAAGCATCTTTTTAATACAGATGGTGTCCTGCAGGTGGGGGATGGGGTAAGGGAAGTTTCAGGCTGCCCATTATCAATCCTGTGCAAAAATTACATCTGTCTTCAGAACCCACTAGTGATCCATATAATGAGCCTTTCCCTTGCAGGCAGTAAGTCTTGGATTCTTCAGTGTCCACTGCACCACTGCCTGCACCTAAATAATTAAAGCCCTCACGGGCCTAGAGCACGCGCATGCACTCCGCAATGATGGAAAGGTCCAGTCAAACGTTTATCTATAAGAAACCATGACATATGCGACAATTTAAACAGTTTGGGGAAATCAGTATGGGGGAGCTTAGCCCCGCACTGGATTCCTGATAAGTTTGTATTTTATTCGCTGGTTTATAAGGAGGGCAGAAATTACAACTTCTGTAAATGAAAAGCGCGCACACACACACACACACACACACACACACACTTTGCAAAAGGTCCACGTTCCCCCTTCCTTTAAGTCCATCGAATGACAATGTGAGATCAGTATTTTTATTTGTTGTCAAACTCAAATGTATGTAAGTAGGCAATGAACACGGCTTGTAGGATCAACCACTTTCTAGAGGCAGGACAACTACTAAATACAACTCTAGTTTAGAAAGTCCATAAAATACAATACAAAAGTCACAATAAAGGATCTTTCAGAACTCACTCATCAGTCCTGTAAAGAGCAAGAGCATGGCCTGTAAAGTCAACCACATCCTGGCCCAAGTCAAATTTTTTGTATACATCACGCATGGTTGTTTTCTTTGGGTCAACTCCTTCCAGTGTCTTTGAATCGTTCTCATCAAAGTTAGCCACATAGCTTAGGAACTTTTTAAAGCGACGTTTCTCAAACAAACCCATCAAACCTTGAGGAAAGTAAGATTAAATCTAATTAAATGGATAGTTTGGAGTCAGAAGATAAATCTAAAACACTAAAAAAAGAAGAACAGACTGACCGAAAAAATTTATACTGGTCTTTTCAGTTCTCCATCTTGTATAATATATCACCCGTGCCGTAGTATTATATGGTATTTATGTACAAATAGGATATTAAATCATTTGCAGTTTGTATTTATATTGTACTAAGTATAGTTCTTAAAACCCACACATCTTTTTAAGTCAATTTAATAGGCACTACATGATCTAAACAGGACTGTTTGAATCAACACTTTGCTATGCAAAACTCATATGGCTAATTTGTCTGATTCAGGCATATTTTAAATTTCCATTGAGATCCAGTTTGGCTAGATGGTAAAATCTGCTAAATCTCTATAGATTTGTTAATTCAGCCATTCACACACTGTTGAATTGCAAATTAACTGTAAAACTCTACTCACCCTAATTGGGGGTCTTTTTTAGCAGCAATTCACTTACAATAAAGCTGGGGTCATTAATACAAATCATAGGCCCACTTTAAAATTTCAGAGACTCATTTGGCTCAATGAGATTTTAACTCGGGTGATGACTAGAGTGAGTGTCACAAATGTTATAAGTTGAACTGAAGGGAATGAGGCAGAATTAAAGTGGCTGAATTTGACCAGTTTCAGCATTTAGTGCTTGACTTCAATTTGTATTGAGCCAAAGCATCAGCAGCAGTCCCCTATATATAATTTTTTTTTGCGTCACTAGTTGGTCATTATCAACTGAACTAGAATACTAGGATTACAGTAACCACCACTGAAAACTAGTTGTATATAATCTATCCAGACTGAATTTAGTTTACTGTATTTTCAGTCATGGATTTATAGACATGCACATCCCACGTTAGTCTTTAAAGTAAGGTTAAGAGTGCAAGAACCTAAAACTTGTAGCACTACAACCAGTTTCATTATCGAATCCCTCTTTAAAAAAAAAGCAGGAAGGATAGAAAAGATTGCAACGCTGTTAAAATATTTAGCACAGAAAAAGGCTGTCTCATTACCTTTAAATTATAGAGTGGATAATAGGTATAAGAAGTAGGAAAGGAATATAATTTCCAAGTATTTCTCAATAAAATAATTTTTAAAAATGAATTACGTGCCACATGATTTATTTATATTTTTTAAATACCACTCACTGGATGCCAGAGCTTCTGTCTCTGTGGAAGGCACCTTATAGATTTTTCCACCTTTGTACACAAAACTTCCCTCGATGACTTTGAAGTCCAAGTAGCGAGTAACCTCTGTGTAAAGCAGCATCTTGACCAACTGACCTGCAACACAGAAAAATGATGGCAAGTCAAAAGATCACATTGCAATTACAATTTGTAAATATTACATGGATCAAATTAAATAAAAAGTAAAAAAAAAAAAAAAATATCCTATTCAAATAAGCCATATCCACAGCAAAAATAAATTGTCTGCTTCTATATGAATGTAAAACACTGATTACTGTAACTTGACAATTGAGAACATTTACAAACAACTCTTACATACTTTTCCAATGTCAACTGACAGTTGTGGAATTTCAACAAGCAAAAACCACTCCACTACAAGATATTGTACAGGGCAAATCCACATTTTATTAACAATGCAGCAAACATTTTGACCAGTTCCGGATCTGTTACAATGGAACATATAGTATTGAATATGATCGCTATTTTCCTTTCATCCCCTCCTCGTTGGCATTAAAAAAATTAACGTTGAAGAGATTACTTACGTTACACCCAGTGCTGGGAATCTACTGCGGCACTCACCTGCTCCGCATTTAAAGACATCACAACACCTGTTGACTTCTACAGAAGTACCTCCAATCCATTGCTTCTCTATGAGCAAGAACATCCAAATGCTGTGCTCCTTTAAAGGACCACTATAGTGCCAGGAAAACATACTCGTTTTCCTGGCACTATAGTGCCCTGAGGGTGCCCCCACCCTCAGGGACCCCCTCCCGCCCGGCTCTGGAAAGGGGTTAAAACTTACCTTTTTCCAGCGCTGGGCAGAGAGCTCTCTGCCTCCTCTCCTCCTCCGTTACGCCCCGCCGGCTGAATGCGCACGCGCGGCAAGAGCTGCGCGCGCATTCAGCCGGTCACATAGGAAAGCATTCATAATGCTTTCCTATGGACGCTGGCGTGCTCTCACTGTGAAAATCACAGTGAGAAGCACGCAAGCGCCTCTAGTGGCTGTCAATGAGACAGCCACTAGAGGATTAGAGGGAAGGCTTAACCCATTCATAAACATAGCAGTTTCTCTGAAACTGCTATGTTTATAAAAAAAATGGGTTAACCCTAGAAGGACCTGGCACCCAGACCACTTCATTAAGCTGAAGTGGTCTGGGTGCCTAGAGTGGTCCTTTAATCAAATGATGCTGCTGGCAGCATTTGATTCCAGGATAAGAGTTGCACTTGGTTCTGGAGGAATAAGCACCTCTAGTGGCTGAAAACAGACAGGATTACTACATCCAGATGACTTCGTCGAGATGAAGTGGTCTGGGTGACTTTAGTTGCTTTTAAACAACTTAAGATTAATATATCTGAAATAAGGGATGAATACGTAGCATAATGGCAAACCAGCAACTGTGTATATACAGCAGTTCACGGAGAAAAGAAAAACTAAATGTGAAAAGAATGCAAATGCACACAGTTTAAGATGTATTCATGTTTAACAGGAACTGGGAATGAGCAGTATAGGAGACTATAATATATCATGAACGGTTTCAGATGGATAGTCTAGAATAAAATTTCTCAACCCATTCTTAATTTTAAAGGAACACTATAGGGTCAGGAACACAAACATGTATTCCTGACCCTATAGTGTTAAAACCACCATCTAGCCCCCTGGGCCCCTCATGCCTCCCAAAATCTCAAAATCCCAAAGCTGCTGGCTCTGCCCTGTCTGCCTCAGACTAGCAAGCAGTTTGCTGACATCATCAGAAGTGGTGGCCTGATCCAATCACAGTGATTCTCCATAGGATTGGCTGAGACTGACAAGGAGGCAGATCAGGGGCAGAGTCAGCACAATTCAAATACAACCCTGGCCAATCAGCATCTCCTCAGAGAGATGAATTGAATCAATGAATCTCTGAGGAAAGTTCAGTGTCTGCATGCAGAGGGTGGAGACACTGAATGTTTGGATGCATTTTAGGCAGCCATGACCCAGGAAGGCTCTCTAACAGCTATCTGAGGAGTGGCCAGTGAAGTTATCACTAGGCTGTATTGTAAACACTGCATTTTCTCTGAAAAGACAGTGTATACAGCAAAAAGCCTGAAGGTAATGATTCTACTCATCAGAACAAATTCAATAAGCGCTAGTTGTTCTGGTGACTATAGTGTCCCTTTAAAGTTTGGTGAAAGACCCATTCTTCGACTGCAACAAAATATAATATAAATGAAAAAGAAGAAAAAAAAACTACCAATAGGTGTCTCAACATAGGGTATAGAATCAATCGATGTCGCAGAAGAAGTGAACTTTAAAACTTAACTTTTAATAAGTATACTAAAATAGACACATAAGAGAATAAAATGATAAAAACAAAAAGCACAATGCTAAATTATGTCCTGTTGTCTAGCTAGAGCGAACACTGAACTCAAATAGAAAATATAGCGAATCTGTTAGGATAATGCACTAAATGCACTAACATCAGAATGTCACCAATTTTTCAGTCCATTTAGAATGTTGAGATTTTTTTCCCCTTATGTTAATTTATTAAACTCCTATATAGGCCATTTGTAGCATTCTTTTCATTTAATCGCTGATACTAACAATAATTTGATTTGTTCCTCACCCATATTCCATGATATCTGAAACATTAAGTAGATATACAATATGTCTTGTCTTCTCTACTAGGTTCCCTTTATAGTCTCTATGCATTATAGTATACATGCTATATAATAATATCTGTGACCTTATTCCCATCGACAGCATGCACTAAATACGGTCCATAAGATCTGCACTAGTAATTCATTCTGGTATCAGTTCGTAATCCCTGGCTGTAAACTAATACAGAACATTCAACAAACTGCCAGATCTATCTATATCTATATATAAATTATTCCCAACACTAACATTTATGTATACACTGATCACTATCATCGTTGATCTCTGTTTTAACGTATTAGCTTGTAACAAGTCACATTTTTCGATTACATTGATATCGTCTCACTCCCACAGTTAAGTATCTTTAGGGTTAATTAGTAGCAAGAAAGCTAAAACCCTCCCCTTTATCCTCATTGGTCACCCTAACACATAAATACTGATACTTACCGGTCTTCAGTTCCCCTCTGATAAGTAACCCAGACGAAACCCGCGCGTCAGGGGGCTCTGGACGCTTCGTCGGCTATACTTCTGCTGTTGAATCAACACAGCCGTAATCTCACTAGCTAAAATTGCTCTTCAATCTAGGCATCCGTTTTGTAGTCCTGTTTTCTACCTACTAGCTTGCTATGGGGGGAGGGGGGGGGGGTCATAGAGGCAGTGCAGGCATTTTATAAGGGGTGCCCTTGAAGGCACTTAGATCTTTACTAATAAGCCAGCGCTAAGTTTTCTATACTCTATATACTTTCACTGATTGCTATATACTAATCCTAGTGGTTCACCGTTTCTGAACACTCCCGTGTTACAGGCACCTTATTATTTTCTGATAATTATGGTTTTATTTCTTTAACCACAGTGGTGTGCTACTTAGCAATTTGATATTTAGAGCACAAGAGGCATTTCTCTCAAATCAAGTAGACTCTTTACTGCAGGAGAGTCTAGTGTATAGATGCACTCTGGCTCCCCTCTTATTTTTTGCTACACATTTTGTAGCAATCGTTACATTATGATTTACGAAGTATCTTTTTTCACTGCCACTCTCCCTGCGATATTTGCCATTTGAGAGTTCAGTGTCAGCTCTAGCTAGACAACAGGACATAATTTAGCCTTGTGCTTTGTGTTTTTATCATTATTCTTTTATGTGTCTATTTTAGTATACTTATTAAAAAAGTTACATTTTAAAGTTCACTTCTAATGTGACAATATGATTATGATTCTATTCCCTATGTTGAGACACCTATTGGGAGTTTCTCTTTTTCATTTATATTAGCCATTTAGGGGTTATCCCCCCATTTTTTTCTACCACTAACCTGTCTCATACCCTTATTTAGGCTCTGTTTTTCTTTTTCAATCTATGCAACAAAATATACTCACACTTGCCAAGTGAAAATTTAGCCCATGCAAATAGAAATTCACCCCTGGTTAATATGCTATGGCTTAAAGCGGCAATTAATGTTCAAGACCTGGTCAGTAGCCAAATATTAAACACTAATTTATTTTTATTGTTGATCCCTAAAAATGTACATACAAAATTAAGCCTCTTTCTATTCATTGCAGTTCAAACCACTGTTGCACACAAGCCAGTCAAGCTCATCTGCACAGAAGTCTACCCAGTCATTATTTCAGATGAGGAAAACAAAACCAAGACAAAGCACCCCTAACTGTTATATTGGAACATACATACATACATACATATACACACACACACACACACACACATATACACATACATACACACACACACAATGGTTTCTTAATAATAGGCAGTCTTATTTGACGTTCAGAGGAAAAGAATTTTTCGGCACTATCCTCTCAGCTCCAAATAGAAGACTGCCTGCTAATAAGAAACCATTGGGCATGCCCAGATATAGGTATATCTTCCAGTTGGATTGATTGCGAGTTGACCATCCTGGTTTGTAGCACCCCAGTGGGAGCATCCTCCTAATAGTGTGTGCATTATCCTCTCACGTTATAAATGTGTTATATGACAGGATCCTCCAGGTATATAAAGGCACCTTGAGTCAGACAGTGTTTGAATACTGAAGGTCGCTATGGTCCTTCCTGCTTTACTCCCTGCACAGTGAAGTGGCAGACTGACTAAAAGTCAAATTTAAACATTGTCCGACCCAAGGTGCATGCATATGGCTGATTGAACATACACACCAACGCTATGTTGAGAATGCATATTAATATCAAAATACTAAGAGATAGAGAATATATATATATATATATATATATATATATATATATATATATATATATATATATATATATATATATATATATATATATATATATATATATATATATATATATATATATATATAACTTTTGTTTAAAGCCATGCTGATGCTTACAAACCAAATAGTCAAATTGCCTCATAATCCAAGTAAATCAAAAACGAAGAAATTTGCTAACATACCACTTGCCATGAGAAATTTAGGAACAAGATCCACATTCCAGTCTCTTCCTCGTCCCATACCCTCAGGGGGACTCCCAGGGATGTTAAACCTTTTGTATAACTGAAAGGAGGGTGTGGGTGGGGGGAGAAGAAAAGAAAAATCAGTGTTTGAACAAAAAGTCTTATATTTGCAGGACTAACCTGTTTTGATTAATTTCAATAAAATTATACCAATATTATTACATTTAACTGAACACTTAACTGTTTAAAAATCAAAATACTGAAATCTTGCAAAAACATTAATACACTCTGAACTAAGCTACTAAACTTTGGAAAAATACACTTTTTTTTATATGAAAATTAGAATGGAATGTTAGAATGGGAATGATTGATTACAGGACCAGTGAATTACAATGACTCAAGCCAATAAGGAAAACAAACACACCTATGTTACTATCAATATAAATCCTATTAATCTATTAGTGCAAGGAATGGGCTAAGACTACAACTGTGGATAATTTGAGAGGAAGAGAACAGAGTACACCATAAAGAAACAGAAATTATGCATTATTAGCAGCAAAGCACTTGTTGATTCAGAAATGTGATTAATTCAGCTGTGAAAATTTCTAAGAAATTGTTAGTTACAAATTAAGCATTCCAGAGCTAGCTAGGTGTTCACATAAAACAAGTGGACTGGATTATTTCCCAGTTGTCCAACAGTTGCACATTACTCACATCTTCCAGAGGTGTAATAGAAGCACTTTCTCCTCCATAGTACGAGTTACGATCCATGTGCAGGACCTTCTTGCCATTCACAGACATTATACCAGAGAGGATACATTCCTACGGAGGTAGTATCAAAGAAAGTTATAACTGGCACAAGATCTAGTTTGCGCTTACACATGATCTAAAAAGACAACCCACTTTTATGGACTGCCTCTCCATGGTTTTTAACCCCAAATTATAGTGAATCCAAATCTGAATGGCAACACAGAAAAAAAGTGTAACAGTCACCCCTTTTTTGCAACTGTGTAGCCAATTGAAGAGTAGCTACAGGTTGTGATGTTTTAATTTAGGTTATTTACACTGAGTGCCAGGCTGTCCTTGCACTGCTAGGTCACATGCTGCACATCAACTAACCGCGACGCAGCCAACATAGAGATATGCTATACTTTCCTTTACTGTACGCCTCACTGTAGGAAACAATGAATGTTGCTTTGAGAGAAGTGGCAGTTCCCCACTTAAAAGATAAGCAGCCATAACATCTGAGTGTGTTACATTAAAAAGACAAACCTTTTCTGGTTCAATGAAGAGGTGTAGGTTGCTTCTTACCCAAGACTTAAAATTTTAAGTGCCACTCTTCAATGAAACCATAATGCAGAAAACAGCTTCCTAGCCACATACAGGCTCATCGGCCAATATTAAAGTAACACTATAGGGCCAAAAACACAAACCTGACTCTATAGTGTGAACACCATCTTCGCCTCCTGCCGCTTCTATAGTTACATATTACAAGGAGGGAGCTGCGCGCCGGTAGCTCCCTCCTTGTAATAAACTGAACGAACAAACGAACACTGATATTCAGTGTTCGTTTGATTTTTCTATTCACTCATTCGTCTGTCTGATAAATGAATGAATAGACGAAATTCCCGTTCGCATGTCCAGGTGTTTCACTGGGCATGTGCGGGAATCTCACAGTCTATCTAGTGTGGGCAGATGACATGTTCCACAGGGACTTAATCTACCCACAGAAAGATGGCGGCGCCCTGAATCAAGATCGGGGCAGAAAATAAGGAATAAAAAATAGGTAATGTGGGGGGCTTAGGGGCATTTGGGGGTGACTAGGGTGAAAGTTAGATGTAGTAGAGGCCGGAAGGGGGTTTAAAAAAAAAAAAAAAAAAAAAGATTCGGGAGGACAGTGCCGCTTTAAACAGACTCACAACACAATTACAAAAAAGGTGTAGTGGTGATGGTATTTCAACTTCTTTTTTAAATCAATAATGCATGTTTTTTTCTACTTTACAGTTTCCAATCATTTTTTAAAATACACTTATTCTTATTTATTGTACAAGGGAAACATTCCTGCATTATGCAGACATGAAGGTAAAAAATAAAAAAATAAATTAAAAAAGTAAAAACAAAGCTTACAAGCACACAAATACAACCAGGGCATACTTATTCCAATATGATCAATAGTTTGATGCAAGACTCAAAACTTCCAATTGTCAGTAGCAGTTGGCTGGTGACATGTCACCCCTGGTGAATCTGCCATGGACTCGATTTGCTTGCAGTGGTGAGTAACTTAAGACATGGCTGTTAATGTAATGCTTGGTATTTTAGGTGTATGAAAATATACCTGGAGAGTCCTGTTAATGTATGTAGTGATGTGTGGTGACATTTTCAAAGGCCACATAAGTTTTCATGGTTTAGTGGTTCAACACCACCAGTTAATATATAATGCGCATGTAATCAAGTGAAAAACGAATGAAGTTAAGAAGATTGCTTGGACTGTATATTCTGTACCAGTCTTTTTTTATAATGTAATCATGGAAAACATTTAAGAACGAAAGTTTAATAGAATTTTAGTATTGGGCAGCAGCAGGTCCCTGACAAAACGAAGCACTGACAGTTCACACTACACAATAGCTTCAGATGGTAAACAAATTGGAATAATTTCTTGAAAGGATTACTCCAAGGACCATAATCACTTCACTGAATTAAAGTGGTGCTGGGACTCTATGTGCAACATTATGCCATAAAACTACACAAAGAGATTTAGGCCTTTGTAGTGTCACTGAAGCGCCATTACTCAGCCGAGATGAAGAACTCCAGGCTGGCTAATGGCAATACTGTGCATATTTCTGAGCACAGAGGGTAATTCATTGCCCGAAGTCGATCAGCTGATGCTCTTTGCCGACTAGATCAGCATCCATCTCCTGTAGATTTGAAGAGGTTGAATGCAAGTCACCCAGTTAACAAAAGGTAACATGCCAAATTGTTGCTAAAAGGTTTGCTCCATTAGCAGGGAATGAAGCCATCAGGGTGCAGTGTTTACAGTGCTTGGAGTAACCCTCTAAATCATTCCATTATTGTAATTATTATTTGATATCAATATACTGAGAGTAGAACTATATTATTTTACTGAGGGCACAAAACCTTCTTTACTGTACTAAATTAGCAGCCATTACACTTTAGATACTAAAGTTTGCTTGACGCTCTGAACTCGCTAATGCAACACCATTTAGGATACACAAAGGACAGTTTTCACTAGAGTAACTGTAGACAATGTTCGTATATGGTGAATATTGTTTGTTTTTAAATGCACATCCCATGTGTCAAATTCACACGAGTTCGTTTGTCAAATAAGTAAGTCACAAAAACCACAGTGATTCAATCACCACAGAAACTACATTTTCCCTCAGCAAAAAACAAGCAGCTTAAAGGGGAACTATAGTGCCAGGAAAAACAAACTTCCTTGACTTGGGGCGCCTTGGAAAAATATTGAAATATTAAGTGTGCCTTGAACCTAAAACGTTAAGGGAAAACAAAGTTATACAATTAGCATTCACCTGACAAAGTGAGTCATCCAGACTCACATTTGTCTTGACACCACAGTATCATTACTACTCAATCTGACGCAAATACTTGCCCTTGTACATGCAGAGTCCCGGGCTTGTGCGTTTCATGAAGTTCCAGGAATTAATTTTTTTTTTTCCTTCAATGTTCTGTTTAAGAGAAAGCCAACTCAGCAGAGAGCTGCAACACAAATAACACAAGGGGACAACCAAGTGTGAACGAATGAAACACTGGTGATTTTACACCAAGTGATTAGAGGGTGTCTCACTTTAATCACTATAACATTTGAAACTTTGCAGCCATACATTACGCAATGATCCAGCAAGAAAACTTACAAAAATATTAACACATTTCCCCTTTCAGTGTACGTGCAGAGCACAGTTATATAAAACAGAAGAACAAGTGCCCCATTGCTTTAATAAAACAGGGAAAAAAAAAAATCCCCTTCTCAGGAAGGAAGCGCAAAAGGCCAAATGAGCGTAATTAAAGGGTTAAGCTTAACAGCTATAGGAAGCTAAAAATAAATTGCAGCATGGCAAAGGTGGCCAGAGAAGCCTTGGCATATAATAGTTAATTTGCATCCTTAAATCAGGAAGAGAAACCACAAAGCTTCACAATATTATTTTAAGATGTGACAGCGTAGGTGGAAACAGTTTGAGTTTAATCATAAGCTTAGTTTTAACAGCAGTAAATGGAAATAGAAAATTGTAAACTTAAAGGAACACACTACTCACCAGAACAATTATAGCTTAATGTTGTGGTCCTGGTAACAAAAGTCAGTCCCTGCACATGTAATAGCCTTAGCATGCTTTCCTGAGGGAAAGCATTAAATGGGCTGAGAGCATCAATTTTGCTGATCTTAGCCAAGGAGGTGGAGACTGCCTTGATAGACTTACGCAGCACTGGAATAAGACAAGTTTTTAAAGGGACAGCAAAAAAAAAATAAAAAAATTAAAAAAAATTCATGTCCTCTATACAGACTAGTGGATCCAAGTAAAAAGAAAGATCTAAACTAGTCTCAGAGCCGTCAAAAAGCCTTGCTAGTTTTAGCCAATTTGTCCAAGCACACACAACTTTGATTGTGCTCCCTCCTCCCAGGAACGTCAAGACACCCCCTAATATTTGCTGATCATCACTACCAATCACAGTGCACATGGATAAACTGACATCTGTTCATTATATTGTGACTGGACAGCTCTTGGGGGAGATCTACTTATGGTGTAGTAGTTTATGGAGTCCACTAAAGAATACATAGGGGAAATCTCGAAAATGAGCAAGTTTTTATTTTATTTTGATTGGTGTTATAATAAATTATTAAATTTTATAACGCAAAATTGCAAGGAGTACAGTTTTTACCTCAAGGGTTTCATTTTAAATCTGGATTTATTCAGTTGTTACTAGAGAGTCAAGTCTTTCCACTAGCAAACCTTTGCCACAGAAAAGCAATACATGCCAGCAAAATCTTTCTGGTCCCCACCCTGCATCCAACATAATTATAGCAAAGCTAATTACACAAAAAAAAAAAAAAAAAGAGAAAAACATTTGTCTAAACATAGTTGCATCCATTTTCACATTTATAAAATGTTAATGTGGTTTACAAAGGTTTACTTCTAAGTCTTAGAGTACCCTACAGGGACCTAGACCACTTCTCCTCATTGACTGTTCCCTTAAAATGACCACTCTAGGCACCCAGACCACTTCAGCTTAATGAGGTGGTCTGGGTGCCAGGTCCAGCTAGGGTTAACCCATTTTTTTTTTTATAAACATAGCAGTTTCAGAGAAACTGCTATGTTTGTAAATGGGTTAATCCTTCCTCCAATTCCTCTAGTGGCTGTCTCATTGACAGTCGCTAGCGTGATTCTCACTGTGAAAATCACAGTGAGAGCACGCAAGCGTCCATAGGAAAGCATTGTAATGAGGGTGGGGGCACCCTCAGGGCACTATAGTGGTCCTTTAACTCTGCAATGAAAATAAATAAATAAATAAAAATTCCATTTAATAGAAACTTCAATAGTTACATTGCAGTGTTAAGATTGCCTCTAGTCCCTGTCTACCTGCCCTTCCATGGAGTTTGACTCAGTGAAACAACTCTGGACATCCTCACATTTTTGCATGGGAACATCGAGCGTGTTGAAAAATCCATTAATTCAAGGATTCCAATGGAAAAAGCCTAAGGCTTGCGTTTGCTGTGCATGCGTATTAGGTCTCTGGATCACGCTGACTGGTCCCTCAGCGCTGGAAAACCGCAAGTGAAACAGACCATTGATCTCAGCCATGAAAGCGGAACCAGGCAGAAGCAGCCGCAGGAGACCGGCACCGCATGAGAGAAAAAAGTTACACACCTGAAAAGAAACAGGCACGATGCATCCTGGGGAAACTTGCTTTGTATTGCGAAAGAAATTTGTAAACTGAACTGAGGCATTATTTTTAATGGATTTTCATTTGTAAACCAAAAATGTTAACTGAGGCGTTTGTAAACCTAGGTATCACTGTACAAGCCTCAAGATCACTTTCTTAAAATTCAACATTAAATCAAGAAACTGACTGTCAAGAGTTAGTCACCAAACTGGGTATTACCCAGACAATTGGACATTTATGCAAAGAGACATAGTTCAGCTTAAAATTTTATATTTTCTTGTCAATTCACAGCCAAGTTAATAATTCTGTGTTCGTTGAACTATACGGCATCCCAAAATTTCTAGTGTGCACCAGAGTAGTTGTGAGGATATTTCCAGTAATTTGTGGATGTCATGACTGTGTATCCAGCTATTCCGTGACACTATTTGTATTTATGAAAAAAAAAAAATAAAAAAAAAAAAAGTGTAGGAAAAAATTTCACCAGTACAATATATAGATAAAATGTATTTTTGAAGAGCAACAACATATTTGACGTAACAGTGGCAGGCTTTTAAAAGAAAGAGTTACATCATTTTTGCAGGTCCCAAATTAGTTTGTCATATGGGTAAAGTGAAATAAATTGTTCTTGCTTACAGAGCCCCAAAAGCATCTGCTATTTACTCAACACGGTAAGAAGCATGGGCAATAGGTTTCATTTCATGCAAAGTAATATCTGAGCACAAGTTGGGCATATTGGTAGTAAAGCAATGCAATAGCTTGTCTGCCAGATCACTTCTACAATAAAAGAAGACACTGAGCAACATGTACATTCTGCTTAAAGGGACACTACAGGAGCCAAATTAGCTTTAATGCATTTGATAGGTTTTGGTCTCATTAATAGTACACACCCTTAGCAACACAACTCCATTCTGACATACTTCCTTCCTTAACACAGTACGTACACAGGTAAGCCACTGAAAGCACTGGGCATCGAGCTGCAGGAAAACCAGAACAAGGAGAGGATAGATTTGCAGTACATATATTAAAACACATCTGTCTGCCACTGTGCTTCCTTTCTGTGCAAGTCTACTGTAGACGAGAGCTGGTCTTTCACAGGTTAACTCCACTAAAGGTCCCAGTAAGGCTCAGGAACAAGTTATAAAATACCATAGAATAATAAATCACAGCAAGCAAGGCAATCCACGAATATTCCCATACAGATCCCAATGACAGGACAACACACTGCATCAGGAGCAGAATTGAACTTTTAATCACTCAACCTTCTTTTAAAGCATTCTCCCATGCAAGGGAGGGATTTACAATAATTATTACAGTAGCCAATCATACATGACTTGCCACCCACACATTCCCTCCCCTTAGCCTGACACATAATCCTATTATACAGGACACAAAGTCCCAGGGTTTCTGGATCTACCCCTAAACATAGGGGTACCCCTTTAAATATTATATCCCCGGGTAGCCCTGATCTGGGTGAGGGACATATCCAAAAATCCCCCAGATCAGACCGGGGGTTCGGGAGAGTTGTGGAAGTAGTAAAAAGAGGTAACAGCCGAAATTGGTTCCATGCATTTTGGCCCTGCGGTCGGTCACAGAAAAAGGGAATTAACTGCACGAATGACTTAGGCTATGGAGACTGGAGAAGATTTGAATGAATCCCCTTGTTCGTGTGTTTCTGTCTACCGAACGGGTAGCCGTTCGGTAGTTTCTACACGAATTTAGGGGCAGTGTGGAGGTCTCAGCGGTGTTTGCCTAGCCGAGTGTCCAATTTGGGTTCCGGACACTCGGCGGCAAAACACTGCTGTTCGGGAATTTTTAAAATGGCTGCCGCCACGTGTTCATTTCCCGAATGGCGGCCACCCAGAAGACAAAACACACATTACACGAATCACCAATTACCCGTTTGCAACATTGTTGCGAATGGTAATTGGAGGCACACTTATTCCTGGGTGGTCTGGTTGTTCAGTAGTTTCACTCAATATAATGAACAGAGTGATTTTACCGAACAATCAGCCAAATGCTGCATACACAAGGCAAAATTTAACAGAAAGCATATGAACATACAGAATTTTGAGGACAACCCAGTGCCCTCTGCTACATCTACTAAAAGGTGCTTTCACAACCCCAGTCTTGGATGTGCACACAAAGCTAGGAAATCACAATTTAAAGACATGAAGGAAAGGATTTATATTTAACCAGCATTTCTATTGCAATGACACTGAAATTCTAGTTATGCCTCCTGTTTTTACATCTCTTCTGCCCATCCCCCACCAGTTACACGTGAAGAGGAAAGACAGCACATGAGCTTCCAAGGGAAGAGATTGTCTATGTGGCATGCGGCGTGAAGTCGGTCATACTTTGCTACTGGCATATCAGTATTCATTGCTATGCTAGTAACTGCAAACTGATGTTGCATTTGCCTGCTCAGAGATAGCTCTAATAAAGGGCACTTTTGTTGTGTTTATACATACATACATACATACATACACACACACACGAGAACATTTCTAATACTAGGACAGATGGCATTAAAAAAAAAGAAAAAAAAAAAAACAAAAAACGGTATATATGTACAGAATATGCCTGAAAGTTCGCAGATTATCAGTATCGGCCCTAAAAAAACAACAACAAAAAACACCCCAATATCGGTCGATCCCTAGTGTCTTCTTACTAACTCAAAAAGGACACGATAGTCACCAAAAAAAACTAACTTGATGAAGCAGTTTTAGTGTATAGATCATACCCCTGCAATCGCTGCTCAATTCTCTGACATTTAGGACTTAAATCACTATTTTTTTGAAGCCCTAGGCACACTTTCCTGCATGTGACTTGTATGGTCTTCCTCAAGTCATCTGAGGTCTACACTTCCTTTCTGTGTAATTTAGAATGTATTCTCCCACTCTGCTAACATCATACTAGACCCTGTTGGAGCTTCCTATATGTAATTAAAGTTCAATCTACAGAGAAGGACTTAAAAAGCTTTTAAGTAAGTTACATCTGATTGACAATAAAAAAAAAAATAGCTTTTTATTGCAAACAGGGGATCCTAAAACTATTCCCAATGCTATAGTGTCCCTTTAATGGGAAATACAATTGTTTTCAAAACAGGGGCAGAATCATTACCTTCAGAGTTTTAGCTTTAAAAACCTGTCTTTTCAGAGAAAATGCAGTGTTTACATTACAGCCTAGTGATCAGATAGCTGTTAGAGATCCTTCTTGGGTCATGGCTGCCTAAATGCATCCAAACATTCAGTATCTCCTCCCTCTGCATGCAGACACTGAACATTCCTCATAGAGATTCATTGATTCAATTAATCTCTATGCGGAGATGCTGATTGGCCAGGGCTGTGTTTGAATCATGCTGGCTCTGCCCCTGATCTGCCTCTGTCAGTCTCGGCCAATCCTATGGGGAAGCATTATGATTGGATCAGGCTACCACTTCTGATGATGTCAGCAGGCAGGTCTAAAGGAAACAAGGACAAAGTAAGCAGCTCCAGACTTCAATACAAGATTTCTATATTTAGGGAGGCATGAGGGGACCAGAGGGGGCTAGATGGTGGTTTTAACATTATAGGGTCAGGAATACGTTTGTGTTCCTGACCCTATAGTGCTCCTTGAACCCAAAATTTAGGACACCTTTTAGGGAAAACCATTTAACATCTCAAAATAGCATGAACCTATGCTCATAACAGACCTCTTTATCCCTTAAAGTTGAACTTTAGGCTTGAAACAACCCATTTATTGAAAATAAAATATTAATTATGCATTAAAAATATAAAACAAAAGCTATTTGCATTTAAAATTTTATTTTCAATAATGTTATAGCAGTCAGCACTGTTAAAAAAATAAATAAAAAATGTGATAAGACTTCTAGATTATAACTTTCTATATAATTTTTCAATGGAGTGACTATCTCGTTGTGCAGAGCAGGACTTTCTGCACTTCTGTATTTTTATTTTTTACACTCAGGAAAGTTATTAGCTGAACAATAAGTCACAAGAAACTTTGCTAAGCTTACTGAAGACATGAATTGTTATTTGAGAAATACTGTTTAAGAAAGATGGGTATGAGAAGGAAAACATTTCTGCCACACTACAAAAAATTATGCAAAAATGACAGCAAATGTGAAAATGTCAAAAGCTATAACATACACAAATGTGTTGGTGCTTAGTTTGCTTTTTTAATGAAAACATTTCACACAAAGTGCAAAAAGCAAAATATAAGATGCACTCTTATTAGAAATTTGTGGGTTGGGGGTATACATATCCTGTACTATCAGTACGTTATACTTCACCTTATGTGTATAAATGGATAAATTATGTAGTGCAAATTTGTGCGGTGGGATAGAGGTGGTGTTCTGTGGGCAGAGAGAAGCAGCGTTTTTTTATTTGCAATTTATAAAGTTTTTAACAGTGTGTACACATTGTTCAGTTGAATAGGGTACATTATGAACAAATGTAAGTTTGAACATACATCGGGATACAATACAGTGCATTTCGGTCAATTACATTTGTACAGATTGCATGAGGAGACAGTACATCATTCTCTCAAGGCCTTGTTTCTTGGCCGTCTGACCTCAAGTGGGCTTAACACATGTTAACCTCTGATCTTTTAACTTTAACTATTTCAAGGTGTAATGTTGTTGTGACAGGTTAATTGTCTTCTGTCATATTTCTTGTTGTACTGGGAGCGCAAATTGTACCTGTGTGGTTGGCAGTGTTTTTGTTGTTGTTTTTTTTTAAAGAATAATATATATATATACACATATTTATATATATATATATACACACACACATATATATACACACACACACACACATATATACATACATATACACTATCTGACCCATTAAAACAACATCTAGCCCCCCCTACTCATCCCCATATAGTAAAATCTTACCTTTACTCCAGTCTGCTGCTGCTGGCTCTGCCCCTGATCTGCCTGCTTAGCTGACACCATCAGAAGTGTTTCTATCAGCCAATCACATTGCTTTCCCATAGGAAAGCATTGGATTGTGTGAGCTTGTCAAGAAGGTCAGCAGCAGAGCCAGCACATGCCAAACACAGCCCTGGCCAATCAGCATCTCCTCATAGAGATGGATTGTATCAATGAATCTGAGGAAAGTTCAGTGTCTCCATGCAGAGGCTGGAGACACCAGGAAGCACCTCTTACAGCCATCTGAGAAGTGGCCAGTGGAAGTATTGCTAGGCTGTAATGTTAACACTGTATTTTCTTTGAAATGACAGTGTTTACTGCAAAGGCCTGAAAGGAATGATTATATTCACCTGAACACAACAAGCTGTAGTTCTAGTGACTACAGTTTAATCTTTGGGGGGTTTTGCAAGGTGGAAAAAACCTTTCCTGGTGGTATAGAGCCTCTGTCTGCACCTCCGCTGGGGGTAGACTCTTCTCGCAGCAATGGTTACACTGGTATCCAGCTGCAATGATCTGACAGACCAGTGTTCACAAGAGAGGGAGGATCCATTGGAGGTACACAAATATACACACAGTATGTAGGACTCATTCGGTATATAGGATGCTAAACGCGTAAAAAAAATGGTTTTGGTTTTTTTATACCCCAAAGTGAGATTAAATTAGTAGATAACCAATATTTTTGGGGGGCAATATTAGGAAAAATTTAACAGTGTTGTATCTAGGAAGATTCCTTGCATGCAGTTTGCTGTGCTTATTATATGTAAAAAAAATTTATTGATTTATGGAATAAAGGATTACATTTTACTTCTAATCCCTGCAGATTATTTCTCACCATATGACCATTGGGGGAGAGCACAGAAACTGAGGAATTACACCTTTACATCCTACCTATGCCAATTTACTTGAGCCAGTTTTCTATACAGGCTCATAAAAATGTGAGTAGGATGCAACTATTACATTCATATTTTAGTCACAGTGTGGACACTACAGACTATATTGCCCTATGTGAGCCATTTTGTCTTATAGAAATTCACGCATTAGACTTCCCCATAGGAAAGCATTGAAAATGCTTTCAATGCTTTCCTATAGGGAATTTAGCGACGCTGGAGGTCCTCACATAGCGTGCTATAAACCCGGAAGTGCCCTCTAGTGCAGGAGATAACCCTGCAAGGTAAAGATTGCAGTTTATTAAAACTGCAATATTTACAGTTGCAGGATTAAGGGTAGTGGGAGTTGGCACCCAGACCACTCCAATGGGCAGAAGTGGTCTGGGTGCCTGGAGTGTCCCTTTAAATTAAAGAAGATGCTGGACGTCCATAGGAAAGCACTGAGTAACGCTTTACTATGGGCGGTTTAATTGCCGCACATGCAGATCTGATATTGGCAGGGGGTGGAGAGATCCCCGGCACAGATGGAGCCGGAGAAAGGTAAGTGGCTGAAGAGGTTTTAATCCCTTCAGCCATGAGGGTGGGGGTTCCTAACGACCATATAGTGCCAAGAAAACGAGTTTGTTTTCCTGGCACTATAGTGCTCCTTTAAGCAATTAAATAGTGTATTGAACAAAATGTTACATAATGTTGTTGAATGTGTTACAGAGCTTGAAAGGCATTTACTATGATTAAAATGGACAAAAAATTAAAAATAAATTTCACATAAAAATTACAAGTGATTCAAAATAAATGTGATTCTAGATTTAGAATAGCAGTAACCAATTTAGGAGACGTATAATTCAACCAGAACACACAAAAAGGTGTCAGAGGATAAGGAAGTTATAGAAATCAGGGCTTGTTCTCTATAAAAGGTAGCAAAAAAAATGTGCAAAAGATAATTTAAAATTTAAATTAACCAGACCTTTCCAATTTTATCATTGTGTCCTCGTCAAATGTGATCCATTAAATGGAACGCTACAGGTTCTGCAACTCATATTAACAGATCTGTGGGTGCCAAGCTATGCCTACACAGGTGGAAGCTAGCTATAGCTATATATATATATATAATACACACACAGGTAGAGCAGTGCGGAAGGTGGTGTCGCTGTATAAGCAGTAGCGGTGTCCAGCCATGCCAGCCCCGGTTATTGGCCGTGCCATACACCCGGTATTATTATCACCTTGCTCTCACTATTAATGGGGGTATCGCTCAACTTTGGATCCCCCCAGCCCCGGCCCAGTGCTGCCGAGCCGGCCCGCGGGCCTGTATGGAGCACAATGGGTGGCGGCGGCCGGACAGGGAGTGTCTCGGGGTCTGTAGGCCGCGATCAGGCGGGGCTGCGAGAGAGAGGGAGGCAGTGTGTGTGTGTGTGTGTGTGTGTGTGTGTGGGGGGGGTTAGTGTTCTCACCGTGAGGCCGGTGCCCAGCACGATCACGTCGTATTCCTCATTCATGGTGAGCAGGCAGCGGGTAACTCGGGAGTCAACGGGAGAGAGGCGGAGAGTCGGGAGCGCGCTCGGGTGCTGCGCGTGTGGCGGAAGCGCTGACAGGGAGTAGATGAGAGAGAGAGGGCGCGCGCACTGACAGCCACCCGCTGACACGAGCTCGCCTGTGCAGCCAGCCAATCACGGCCCAGGATTTAGACAGCGGAGACTGAGGGAGGCGGGGGAACGAGTGACACATCCGGGTTACGTCACCGATCCTACCGCGACCGCTGGTTGGAAGGATGATAATGAGGGAGTTAACTGGCTCGTGCAGGTCACGTGAGCCTTCTAGCGTGAAATTAGCGACAGGGTAGGCGGTGCTTCTGCTGATCTACAGTGTTATAGAAAAAGGCGATTGGTGGACAGTAGATGGGTGTGGCTAGCCAGGACACGCCCACTGCGGGAGCTCAGTGTCAGTAAGGGTGGGGGAGCAGTGCTGGGTGGATGACTTGTTTCCAGTGATGTTGGCATTCAACAGTCAGAGCTCATAGGCAATATTAATAAATATTATTATACCTCAGTTTACATAATACAGAGTCTCAAAAACGTCCTCTAACCCCACCTCCCTGAATAATTTACTCTGCCCTGCTAATAAAGATTATTAGATTTATTAAACCATGATGTAATATATCTGTTCCTCTACAAGGCCAGCTGCCATTTACTCTTATCAACATGCACATACAGCATTCTAATATTATATCTGCAAATGAGAATGCTAATAAAATGGAGCCTATGATGATAACTGTGCTGTGACTTCCTCGCACATCACATTAAACTGGTTGGAGACAAAGCTTAAAGCGGCACTGTCATGCCGAACTCACCTTTCCCTAGTCGGTTCCTCTTCTCTCCCTCTCTCGGGATCTGTTCTTCTTTTATCCTATCTGCTCTAGTTTTCTTTAAAGGAGCACTACAAACATGTATTCCTGACCCTATAGGGTTAAAACCACCATCTAGCCACCCTGGTCCCATCATGCCTCCCTAAATATAGTAAAATCTGACTTGTATTCAAGTCTGCAGCTGCTTACTTTGTCCCTGTTTCCTTTAGACCTGCCCAGTGCCTGCTGACATCATCAGAAGTAGTGGCCTGATCCAATCACAAGGCTTCCACATAGGATTGGCTGAGACTGATAAAGACGCAGTTCAGGGGCAGAGCCAGCACAATGCAAACACAGCCCTGGCCAATCAGCATCTCCTCATAGAGATGAACTGAATCAATGAATCTCTATGAGGAAAGTTCAGTGTCTGCATGCAGAGGGAAGAGACAGTTCTGGTGACTATTGTGTCCCTTTAAAGGGGAATCACCACATGTCCAGAAGTTACCAAACTGATTACAAGAATGAACATCACTTATAACAAGCATGTCAAACGCAAAGGATAACATGGGCCACATAAACAAGGTTTACGTTTACATGGGCTGCAAAAAAAACCTTACATTTCCATAGAAGAGTAGGTTTATTTTGAAAAGTACAGTATAAAAAAAAAGACGGTGTGTGTTAAGATGGTGACCGTGTGTGTGTGTGTGGGGGGAAGGGGGAGAATGACTAGGGTGAGAGTGTATGTAGGGGTGACAGTGTGGAGGGGGGTGACTAGTGTGAGAGTGTGTGTAGGGGTGACAGTGTGGAGGGGGTGACACTATGTCACCCCTCTCCACACTGTCACCCCTACACACACTGTCACCCTGGTCATTCTCTCCACCCCCCCCCTACACACACACGGTCACCATCTTAACACACACCGTCTTTTGTGGAGCAGACTTTATTTATATGTAATTTCAAATTATTATTGTATTTGTCAAAGTTGTGTTGTACTTGTGTAATGCTGACGTGTGAATCCCAATGATTATTTAGTGTAGAGCCAGTGAGTATAAAATGCAGGAAAATTTTTGCTTGTAGCGTACATGTACGCAGGGCAGGCAGTGTTCTATTAGAATGTAGAAAAGATGTGTGAATAAAGGATTTATTTATAGAGAATTATGGCATGTGAATGCAGGGGTGTTCTACTATGGATTTTTGGTTTCTGAATGCAGGATTGAAGTGTTTGTCAGTGTCAGTGTGTATGTAGGAGTGCATTTGTATGTAGTGCTTGTTTCTGTAAAATATAAAATTCATTAGTGTGGTAGAAGCTGTGTGCACAATAGAAATGGATTGTTGGCTAGTCTGTGTACGAATGCATGGACGGATTGCGTGTATGTGAATTTAACCAGTCAATATCAGTATGTGACTGTAGAAGTCTATACGTGAGGAGTGTCAGTGTATTTGTGAATGCTAAAGTTTATGCATTTAGATCATCAGTCTGTGCAAACACAGGAGCAGTGTGTCACCATGTGCGTGACTGCAGTTGTGTGTTTGCATGTTATTTTTTCTTTTGAATGTAATTTTTATTCAGCATATGATTCAGACTCTCTCGCTTTCCTAATTGAAGTGTAATATATCTCTAGTCTCGTTTGTCTCTATCACCGTTTATTGATCTCTGCTTCACCTTTCTAGTGATCCTCCATCTTACCCACTTCTGTTTCCCTTATTCTCCCCAATTGTGCCTCTGCCCCTAATCCCTACATGTGTACAGTGTGTGTTTACATTAAACAGCCTACAGGGACAGACTATAGACACCAGAACCACTACATTAAGCTAAAGTGATTCTGGGGACTATAGTGTCCCTTTAATGTGAGGTAATTTAGAGATTAGTGCCACGAATAATATACTAGATTGCCTACTTACAGCCAGATGAGGATGATGATGGGCTCTGGCTGCTGTCTGGCTCCACTGGTCTGGTGTAGTCAGATCAGGCTCTTTGGTGGCTGTTTGTAACTGTGGTCACAAAAGTCAATTTTCTGGGTGAACGTGAAGCAGCTCCATTTTTTGGGCCCCTTGCAAAGCTCAAGGCCTGGCCCTTTAGGGTCTGACGGTGAGTGTGCCCATAAGGTCCACCCATAAGTCCACCTACATGTTCCACCCATGAGTTCACTCATAGGGAGGGGAGTGTGTAGGGGGTGTGTTACGTGTTGGTGTAGAGGATCTAAAGTGTGTGCTTATGGAATGTAGTGTATAGGGATACCAGTTTGTGTAGGTGATGCAGTGTGTGTGTGTGTGTGTGTGTAGTTGATGCAGTGTTTTTGTGTAGGGGATAGAAAGCAGTGTGTATTTGTGTCTAAGGGATGTATTGTGTGTTTCTAGTGGTCTCTCCTCTCCCCACCCCCTCCCTCTGTGGTCTCTCCCCCATCCCTCCTCCCTCCCTTAGTGGTCTCTCCTCACCCCCCACCCCTAACCTAGTGGTCTCTCCTCACCCCCCACCCCAACCCTAGTGGTCTCTCATACACCCGCCTTCCCTAGTGGTCTCTCCTCACCCCCACCTCCTCCCTCCCTTAGTGGTCTCTCCTCACCCCCCACCCTCTCCCTTAGTGGTCTCTCCTCAGCCCCCTCCCATAGAGGTCTCTCCTCCACCCCCTCCCATAGAGGTCTCTCCCCCACCCCCCCACCTCAGTGGTCTTTCCTCAACCCCCCCACCCGTTCTCCTCACCCCCCTCCCCTACCTCTGTTGTAGCATGACCGAGCTCCCTCCTGCCAGTCCCTCAGTGTAGCGCGGCCGAGCTCTGCTTTGGTCCACGGTACAGGAGCTTGTGCAGCATCAGAGGTGCTGGCGTTTCTTGCGGCGCCCCGTTTATCACCACCTCATCTGGCTGTAAGTAGGCAATCTAGTATATTATTCGTGGCACTAATCTCTAAAGAAGTGCCTGCCCTGACAATGTCTCACCACATCACAACACATCTCTTCCTCAGTGTCCCATCATCCTAAATGTGCATTTGCTCTATCTCCACATGTAACATCACCCCATCTCATCCCGTTTATCACCACCGAAATGTAACATCAACCCTCATATCTCTGTCACATTGTAACCTGTGTCTACCCATAGCCCCACGTATCTTTACCCCATTTCAACCCTATTTGTGCCCACAACCCACAATTTGCCTCACTATACACCCCAGGCTGCTTGAAGTGAAATCTCACTTCTGGCTGCTGCTCCTATCGGAAGAGGCTTTATGGACACTCTTCGTGTGTGGAATGTGACATCCTTTCCCCTCTTCTTGTCCTACAAAGAACTCCCACACCACAGCACCCCGTGAGAGTGAAGAGACATGTAAGCTCATTGAGCAGGGCCATCAATCCCTCTGTTCCTGTGTGTCCAACTCGTCTGGTTACAAATATGTGTCTTTTAGTCCACCCATTGTACAGCGCTGCAGAACTTGTTGGCACTTTATAAATATTATTAATAATAATAATAACACGTGTGCTGCCAGGTCTCACACAGCCGGGAGGTGGGAGAAAGTGATAGTGCAATAGGTTGCAGGGCGACACCATCAGCGGCACGCAACTATCACCAGAATAAAGGGAAGAAGGAGGCACAATAACCACTGCATGAACAGTAGTGGTTATGGTGCTTGGAATGTTCATTTAAAAATGTAGAATGCATTTTATGACTAAATTACCCACTAAAAAGGTCAAACAAACCAACAAACCAAACGGTATAAAGGTTCTAAAAGCGTTCTAATCCTTACTGTAAGTCATTGTATGGAAAATCCACAATCCATTTTTATTGGAAAAGAGAGTAGACATTGCCATATGTAGAGTGTTCTAACCACCAATGGATCTTGCATTTCTCAGAATAAGCCTTATGTCATGTCTCTCTCTCTTCACAGTACAAACTTACTGATGGCTTTCTGTAACGTTTAATAGATTAAAATTGGTTTGGAAGACTTGTTGAACATCTGGCTTTCTTGCAAAATCAACAGCTTTGAATCCATGTGAGTCGCACGAGTCAGTGATTCCAAACTGCAGGAGAAGGTGGACACACTGGGCATGCTGTCCCACAGAGGCCAGGTGAAGAGCTTGGAAGAAAAATATAATAAGACGTGTGAGAACGTTATTAGCCGTGCACTGGCGAGATGATTAACACAAATATCACTTATTTATTTATATATAGTGGGTTGAGAGAGGAATTTTGATTATTTTTTTGGTTGTTGTTGCAATTTCTCATTACAGTTTGACATATGACAACTTTTGGTTGTCAAGGAGATCTACATTTGATACTGGCAACATAAAGGAAAGCTTGTCTCTGCATGTGTGGGCGTGGCCTATCCTGTAACACCGTAACAAGGCAGATGGAGATGTCAGTGACCTTAAAGAGTCTAAAACATTGGTGTAGAACCAGCTGAAGGAAGTTATTGCAGATGCAAGACAGAGAGACCTGAAAAGCACAAAGGAACATCTATGCCACTTGGATTGTCCCAGCTTCTCTGCACTCAGTGTCCTTTTCTGAAAAGTGGAGCAAAGATAAAAAACTGGAGGAGTCAACAATGGAAAGTTTCTGGTTCCATTGGTTTCTATGTTAATCATTCATCCTACTTTTTCTATTTCCACCATCTTTCAGAACGTGGACTTTGATAAATCTCCCCCACTGTTTCTATTTTTAATCCATTCTCTATGCTGAGTGCAAGGTGCAAATGGCAAAGCTTGTAACAATGACTGACAGGGAGTAAAGAAGGCAGAGCTCCATTCCAAGACAGAGCTAGATATAGCAGTATGGATTGTTACATTTAATGTCATTCCTCAAACCTCACAAACACTATTTCATAAAAATAGGGGACAAATAAACAATTTTAATAAACACAGAAAGAGACAGTACCTTTGTATGCAGTGCAATATACTGTGGATTGTACTTTATAATTGTTGTACAAATTAGTAAACTACTGATCATTTAACGTGAGACATGTAAAGAGCTCATATGTTAGCAGAGAGAAACCGAGTATGGTTAAAGAACTAATCAATTTAAAAGGTTCTTACCAGATCGTTTGTCTAGATCAATATAGTGTAGGTCAGCACCGAGAGACAGTAGAGTTGAGATTGTTTCAGCATGTCCTTCCTATAACATCATTAAGAACACAGACATACAATCACTAAAAGACTCAAATGATGAGATTTTGTTAGCATTAGAGTCAGAGATGGCTCTTTTGCCACCCCCACTCATGCAGACTAAGACACACGCTGACTCAAGTATAAACACACACTGATCCACACACACACTGACCCATGCAGACACACACATACAGACACTCTCTTACACATACAGACACACGACCTATACAGACACATAATGACCCATACAGACACACAATAACCCCTACAGACACACACACTGACCCATGCAGACACACAATGACCCATACAAACACACAATGATCTATACAGACACACACAATGACCCATGCAGACACACAATGACCTATACAGACAAACAATGACCCATACAGACACACAATGACCTATACAGACACACAATGACCTATACAGACACAGACACTGACCCATGCAGACACACAATGACCCATACAAACACACACAATGACCCATGCAGACACAAGCTGACCCATACAGACACATACATGCTGTTTACATTTGTACCTAGTAATACCTCTAGCGATATTTACTCTGATGGCTACTAGAGGTGCTTCCTAGTCCAGTGCTGCACAGTACGCAACAATCATGTTCAGTGTCTCCACGCTCTGCATGGAGGCGGTGATGTTTACATAGCTACCTAGTAATACCTGTAATGGCAGTTACTCAGATGGCCATTAAAGTGCTTCCTATCTCAGTGCAGCATAGTGTGCATCACCAACATTCAGCATTTCTACGTCCTGCACGGAGGCGCTAAATCTTCCCCATAGAGATGCATTGATTCAATGCACCTCTATAAGGAGATGCTGATTGGCGCAGCATCTTGCAGCGCATGTGCCATAGCCTGACAATGCTTTACCATGGGGCAGGAAAAGTTGGGGCGAGACCGGCAAGAGCTGGAGTGGATCCTTTCCCAGGGGTCCAGAGTGGCTGATTCTGGGGCCAGAGTGATGTCATATTCCGGCTCCCGGCATCACCACACGGCGCGAGTAGAAACAGAGCAAAAAGAGCTTGAAGATTACAGCTACTTTGCCGCTGCCTCCATTCTGCAACCACTGAACGGGCTGACAAACTTACAGGCGACAGGACAAAAAGTCTAGTTGCCATGGCAACCTGGGATTTATTGCATCCTTATGTACTGGATAAGTGTATGTAGTGGCTGTAGCGTGTTTTTGTTTAGTGGATGCAATGTCTGTGTTTGTGTAGTGAATGCAGTGTCTGTGTTTGTGTAGTGGATTCATTGTCTGTGTTTGTGTAGTGGATGCAGTCTGTGTAGTAGATGCAGTGTCTGTGTAGTGCAAGTAGTCTGTGTTTCTAGTGTTGAATAAGTGAAATGTGAGGGGTGAGCCGTTTTTAAAATGCATAATTATATTTATTCCCCCCTCTCTCACCTGTGGGTAGGGATGGGGGATACTAGATTAATTAGTGATCAGGTGGCACAGCAGGTATATTGTGAAGAGGGGGCCCTAGGAGTCTTATTTTCCACCTCCAGCAGCATCAAGTCTTCTCTGGCATACATGGTGTGTAGCGTTGCCATGGCAACGCTC